GTTAAACAAATCACAATCTATTACAAAATCATAGAAGATATATAGTACATTTGTAACTATTCCTTCAACTCATTTCCACAAGCATGAACAACTATGTCAAATTAAATGTGGATATGAAAACTCTGATCAGTTTATATATCCTGTGTCAAAATCGTTATCCTTTCCAGTGAAAAAGATTAAAATTGGAACATTTGATGCATACATATCCGACATAGAAATGGGAGATGCGGCAAGAAATAAGAACATGTGGATAGTAAGACGACTGGAGAAGAACCAAGCTTGTTTTAACCAATAAGCCACTGGTGAGCTGAACAAGTTAATATCTGTATAAAGGGAGATAACATCTAGTATAATGTCTAGGTCAACAAAGTGAATTGTGATGAAGTTTAACAATACAAATGAGAAAAAAACTAACTAGAAAACAACCTGGTGGAATAATACTTTGCATATACAATAAGATAAATTTAAATTGTTAACAAAACATTAATGTAATTAATTTCTATATATACCTTTGAGACATGATAAGATTCCAAGTTAAACAAGAGGCCCAATGGGCCTGCATCGCTCACCTGGTATTAATCTCACACTTGTAATCTTAAGATTTCATAAGAACCTATTAAAAGATTTAAACATATGACGCCTGTGACCTTGATTGTCGAACAAGGACATTAGGTTGAAAGTGGATCAAGGTCATTCATTTGAACTAACTTGGTAGCCCTTCATCTCAGCATGCAACAGGCCCAATATCAGTACCCTGGGCCTTTTGGTTATTGAGAAGAAGTCGTTTGAAGATTTTAAGACATCTGACCCCAGTGACCTTCAAAGTTGGTCAAGGTCATTCATTTGAAAAAACTTGGTAGCCCTTCATCCCAGCATGCTACAAGCCCAATATCAGTACCCTGGGCCTTTTGGTTATTGAGAAGAAGTTGTTTAAAGATTTTAAGACATTTGACCCCTGTGAACTTAAAAGTGGGTCAAGGTCATTTATTTGAACAAACTTGGTAGCCCTTGATCCCAGCATGCTACTTGCCAAATATCATCATCTTAGGCCTTTCAGTTACTGAAAAGAAGTTGTTTAAAGTAAAAAGTTGACGCCGGCCAGACGGACAATGGACGACAGACGGACAGAAGGACGACGGACGGACGGACGATGGACGCCACACCATGGCATAAGTTCACTTGCCCTTCGGGCAGGTGAGCTAAAAACACAACAGTGTCACCACACAAGGACAAGGAACTAATCATGTAACTGAATAAATTCAACAGTTTTGCGACTAGGACTCAACAACTAAAAAGATTTTATATATTCTACACAGGTAAATTTCTACAAACATATCAAACATTTCATAATTCTATATTGAGCTCATAACAAAATATATTTAAAATATTTCAAATTATTAATTGAATTGCTAATTAGAAAACATATAAGTGAATACAAAGCAACGTCAGAAAGCTACACCTATATTCTATCCTGGTTTAACAACCCAGTATGTTTGGAGGATATCCCACGGGTGATTTGCTTACTGCTATACATTTCATAATATCTTCTGCCGTACTCTGTGGTGAAGTATAATTCTGAGTACCAAACTTTTGTCACTGGTTACTCTACCATACACAATTTAGTCTGTAAAGTGGCTTTGTACTTATTGAATCAATCATACAACATTCATCAACATACATATAAGCTAAGTATTGCATGCATTGTAATGGCTCCACGATGTTTCCCAACTATCAAACTCGGTTAGTTTCTAATAGTATAGAATTAAAAACATAGCAATACATAACTTAAACAAATCACCCCGTCATTTGAAATCAGTAAATGGTGTGAGTAATTAATTATGTAAATCATTTGTAACATTATGTACATAAATGAAGACATAATCCACAATATACAATAATGATAATTATAATGAATCCATGCTGTGAAGGTAGGATTAGTTCATATCATGTAATATTTAAAAACAATAAAGGAATGTTGAGACACAATGAACTATGTTAAATGAAAATCCACATCTTCAAACTGGCATGATCATAATTGTATCCTGTATTATGGATGAAATCAAATTGAAAAAATACATCAGAACAAAAACTTGATTACAAAATAATACACCAGGATAAACTGAATATCAAAAGGAAATAAATATAAACACTGTGCTTTGGGCAGGTAAGAGTTTTATATACACGTTACACACATGAGGTAGAAAGCCCTACTTAAGAAGTTTATCCAGCATATCCAGATACATACAAATTTTGTAGACAATGAAGTAGAAAACCAACTAAAACTTGGGAGGCTAGTTTGTTAATCACAGGGAAGAACTGTTAACGGTCATGTATGTGAATGTTACAGCAACAGGAAAGTACAAGTAGTTTAGAATCTTTCTTTAATATCATGAAGTAAATTCATAAAAAAAAATGCTCCATAAGAATACAAGAAAAGTGCCAATGCCGACAATATCATCTACTTTCTGTTTCTTTGTACTAGGACCGTGATGTTTAATAAAACTTATATTTTATTTGTATTGACAAACGTTTTAAACTTCTTTTTGTCTACACTGTGATTGCCAATTTTTGACAACAGAACCGATATTTTTGGAGAATTTTGAATTAAGTATATCTTCAGGTACGTTAGCATAAAATATTGAGAAATTAAAAACTGTAAGTTACCCAAAAGTGTATACATATCCCCTGCTGATTTTTAGAACTGAGAAATGAGATAAAAAGTGATGTACTTTCTAGGCCTAGCTCTATAAATAAACATAAAGACATCAAATGGGTTCTGGCTATACATTAAACCAAATGGATTGAATAATATGTAAAACACATACTGCTTTATGAAATATATCACTTGGAAATTACATAAACTTCAATTAAAAATTTCATTAAGATACACCACGGAATTAGATTAGTTATCTAAGTCCGTGGATACACAATACATAACAAGCAAGTAGTTAGCAAACATCAATCAGTTTCCAAAAGTACGTCTTCTAACCAAATTCTTACTGCTGTATACCTAGCAAACGGAAGAAGTTACATCGCGACATTAACATCCAAAACAATTTCCTGACAGCTCATTTTCCTATGAAACTATCTATATAACTACTCATATGAAGGTAAACTACATTCAAACGTGAAAAGTTAAATTATACAACAGTGACTCCCAACATTGGTCTATTGATTACAAAAGCAACCTCTTAATAGACTCTCTCCAAAAGAAAACGACGTCTATTGTTTAAGTGCTGTCAGGAACTAAAATATAAGTATGCACATTTCCATTCTTTATAGTTACTCATAAATCTGACTGTTTACTTCAGATTCAACCGGTGTTTTATTTTTATTTTCGGAAGGTCAAACGCATGGAAACTGAAACCATATTCAATAATGTGTATTTAATTTGAGCTCTCAGGGGCTTCAAAGGCCATGGAAACTGAAATTATATTTCTGTGTTTCAGTACTCTCCCTTGAATTACAAACTCGCTTTAACGAAAGGAATTTCTTTAACTATAAACTTTTTTTCTTTTCCAGATAATAACATGGCTGATATTAAAGACAATTTTCTAAACAAAAATGTTTTTGGTAAGTACCAGCTTTTTATATCATACACAGGATATATTATAGGTAAATAGCAATAACCCATTGCAGGTATTGACCTTCATAAAAAATGGCAAACACCAAAATTGTCTCATGTGGAATGTTTGAAAAATAACTCTTACACGAGCACCCCTTATTTCACTTGGTAACGAAACAAACACAGATAATAGGAAACATGATTGATAAAGATATACATACAGAGGGCATTATGCAAATTTGAAAACAAATTGATGAAATTTAAGAAAGTAACCTTGCAGAAACAAACAAAAGGCCAAGATGACTAATCCTTGAATCATGATAGTGGCCGTCGCCTCGTGACAAACAAAAACACATATTTCAACAGCCACTGAATATGAGGTAAAATGCCCGAAAATACTGCTTTATTGGCAAGCAAGCTTTTCCAGTGATGTGGTATAACCCTGAAACGCGCTCACTTGTTCAGCAATGTTGAGCGTGGTCAGTGGCTGGATGGGTGCTTGTCTGCATGTTACATTTGGTGGTAGCGTAGTGACACTGTAGTATCATGTAAGGCCAAGTTCCTGATGCTGAGGAAGGTGCATTGGTACACGAGCATTGTAGGAGGACACACAGAATTCCCTAGACCAAGCCTCGGGACAGGATTCTTCTCAGAGAGGGGAAATAGTTAACAGCCAATGAATATGAGGGGGAAATGCTGCCTTTAGGGCAAGCTAGCTTTTCCAAAGATGTGGTTTAACCATGGAATGCGCTCACTAGCTCAGCAATATAGAGTATGGCCAGTGCCTGGAACAGTGTCCTCCTGCACGTTACAATATAATGAAAGGATAGTTAACTAAACTGTTTCTACGTTACGACTAATCCCCAAGTAAATTTCGTCTCTTCATGCCACTCTTTGTATATATGATTACAGTGAAGGAATCTTGACAGATTCCATGATATGACCCATGGCCTTAGTCATGAGGGGGACCCAAGGGGCAATTATTACAGCGTGGCTGTGTTTGTCCTTTTAATGCTCGGCAATTGTATATTTGGTTATAGGACAAGAATCATAACAATTTTCTATTTATATGACTCAAGGTCTTAATTCCAAGGGGTTGGACAGGACACTGGCACCAATATGGGTAGCATTTGTGTATCCAAACCTTCATGCCCAACAATCTGGCAGGAATCACAACTGTTTCCATGATGTGACAAGCAACTAAGGCCCTAAGGGCGGGCCAGACATAAACCCCAAACCTGGTAGCATATATGTATTCGTTTTTTCATGCCAAGCATTTGCATATATGTTTGCATGGAGTGATCCAGGGACAAAGTCTCCAGGGGTGGGTCTGGTTCCCAGCCATTTCTAAGTTGTAATTACTTTTTGGATCTGTCCCTCAGCCCCGATCTGTCCCTCAGCCCCGATCTGTCCCCCAGCCCCTTCCCTCAGCCCCGATCTGTCCCTCAGCCCCGATCTGTCCCTCAGCCCCAGGAATAAATCTCCCCATTTGTACACTTTTGATTCCCCACCATTTGAAGATGTTTCCAACCAAATATGATTGATCTTCATCTCAGAGCTTACGCAGAGAAGTTGCTTAAAGCAACATCACCAAAATAATTACAAAAACAAATGATTTTCAGAAAAGGATTTAAAAAAAAAATATATGACACCATCTTTTGCAGTTTCTTTCATAGGCTCACTTTCACTTCAACCCAGATAAGTTCTGTATACCCTTGTAATTTTACCATGTGATACCTAAACACAGCATGGCTATTTCCATAGCCTACCCTATACTTGGTTGAACGCACAGCTGAAGGCTTGAGGGCTCATTTTGATGAAAGGGGGCTTATTAAATTCAGGAATGATATAGGGACTTCACATAAACCTTAATCAGAAATGGAGTATATTCAGAAGTATTCTAGGTACACCTATAATAGATAACTACTAATACATTGTATAGGGACTTCACAGACAATATAAACCTTAATCAGAAATGGGCCAGACTAGAAAAGTAAAAAAAATATCATGTGAAGGACTAGGGATTGAAGGACAACAAACAAATGTACAAAAACATTTAATGTAAAGTTAGAACATAGCAGGGCATAAATCTTATCTGGTTCTGCTGTATTGATAAGAAACCATTCTAAAGATGGTAGAAATAGTAGTATCACAAATTCAAAATTAAAGTGTGACTTTATAATTGTCATAATTACAAAACAAACCATGGCAATCCTAACATACATTTGTAAGGTACCAATTCATAAATAAACTCCACTCTTCTAAAGGTACAACTGAATGGTTGGCAAATTTACAAAACTGATCAAAATTTATAATTCAGTCAATAAAAACAACCACATCATAGTGTTTTCAACCAATTTTCTAAATGGTAAATTCAAATTTCCAGACATAATCTATGGTTTACAAAACCCTGCATGACCCACATAGGACTTTCATCCATCATCTACTTCTCTGCTATCTGAACTAGACAAGAAGTTGAAGCAGTTCAGCTAACTTGCAACCACTCGCTTGGTAAGGACAATTAGAGGATCATTTGCATGATATTTGGTTAACTTTGATCTGATGAAATTGAGAATTAGTCAAATAAGTCCTTTTCAATCAGAGGACAGGATGGCTAGTTGATTATGGCATCAACCCCAAAAGTAACAGCACCTGTCCTGGACCATATTATTCAGACCAAGTTCAGCTACAACTGGCTGCTGGCATGGTGGAAGTTGAGAAGAAATTAAAAATGCCAACCAGACAACATGTACTGATGGTCTTCTTTGTGAATTGATTAAAAAAAAAACTATGATTGGGACATTTGAGGATTTCTTTTCAAAACTTGGCAGAACCTTATTAATAAGTTAAAGGTCTATACCAATCAAAAGAGTCAAATAAGACATTAAAATAACAACTGGTCATGATATAGTCATTTGCATCTATCATTATTCTTTCATACGAGATTGCATTCATCTTTGCACAGTGATGCTTTGAGTCAAATTTGGTTCAAATACCTTCACCTGTATTGAAGAAATAATCTGTTAAAGATTTATCTCTATAACCCCTATTTTCCCTACTGGCATTCTCTGCTTCCATGGAGTAGGGACACACCTTTCATTGATAAAACACTGAATCCCCTTGACCCAGTAATGCTTCAGACTTTTGTTAACAGCTGATCAGCTGTTCAGAAGGAGTAGGGTTGTAAAGGAAAAGCCAAAAGACATTGCACCATAGCATTAACTAGCATGGTCCCTTGGGCCAGAGCAACATAAAATAAGGATATGTTCCATAAGTTATTTATGTATAACATAAACACTTCAATCACTTTTTTGTAAAAAAAACAATGATACTCTCTTCAACATATTACTGGATCATTTGAGAAAAATATTAGCTACATCAGATGTTAGTACTCATTAATATTGTTGGGATAAATGTTTTTGTTGCATATATAGAGGTTTCCAAACAAGAAATGGCAGATTGTCTTTGAAGGATTCAAATGGATTTATGATGGTATGAAGCCCAGTTGCTTACAAACATACAAATGTATTCCAGCATGGCCAGAAGCCATCTTTGAGAACATGTTTGGATTTCATATTGTCATAAAGGTTTGGATTTTTTCCTTCCGTTCTTGAAAATAAATAATCAAACAAATTCATTCAATAAGTGAAACGGGCATTTTTTACAGAAACAAAGTTGTGGTTCTAGGTTATCATTTCGGCCAGGCAATAAATGTCGATCAGAAACTATATAGGAATTTGAAAATGAAATTATAAATAGGTAGTGTGAACATATTATGGTATGAACACATTAAAGGCTAGAGATTTGTAATATAAATTATTACAAGCACAACATGTTTTTTTTATGAAAGTAGTTGTTACATGTATTTGAGAATCTTAATTCATTGATAGTATAATTTTTGTGACCACTTTGTAAGGGGAAATAAATATTCAATAAATGACACTTTCATGTAAAGCAGAAATTATCATAGTATTGTTTTTTTCTCTCCAAAATTACATTTGCTGATATATGTGTGAACATATAACTTTAAAACCTATATAGTGGCAGTATTGCCTATCTGAAAATACACACACTGGGAATAATTGGAAGAGTCAAAATGTAAAAATGTCCACATCATACTAAAATGTCCACTCTTAACATTTTTAAAGTTTAAAAACAAATATACATCAATCAAAAAATTTCGTGTATTCAACCCAATGGAAAAAGATCTTATCCTTTTTGCAGTCTGTGAAAGTTGATACATTACATACGTGTATATCTGTCTGCAAACTCCCTTGTTAGATCCAGATAGTAACGGGGACCCTGCTTGCGGCCATAATCTAAGTACAAGTACTGGCCTGTATTCTTAGACACTGCAGGTTCTATCTGTGTGCCTTCATGCCACTCATTGAAGGAGGTAATTGATATGATACTGGGATTAACCTTAAAAGCAGCATCAAATGCTGCTCTGTAATAGTTACCAGCATTTCTATTACGGGTGTTTTTACCATTCCATGGTCTAACGTTTGTATCAATATAACCCGGTCCAACACTTGGAATGAACATTTTTGATTGTGATTTAGCAAACTTTTGAATTTCCTTCCACTTATCCCAGCTACTACCAAATGTGAAGCCATTGGTAGCGAAGTAGGTGTAAAACCCATCAAAACCAGCAGAAACGATATCTACCTTGTGCTGTTGTTCGACAAGCAAGCCAATAAAAAATCCATCAAGTTCTGTGTCTCGTAACGTAAGCTTGCCACTAGGCTTAAAAAGATCAGCCCAGAGTTTGGAGCTCACTTGATAGGCGTCATAGACGTAGTACAAAGGCAGCATCTTATTCTTTTCCTTGTGGTAGCGTCGATAAAAGGCAGAGTGGTTTCCGTAAGTCTTTATTATGTATTTTAAGTTCTTTTTCAGGGTTAAATGATCACGACCTTTATACGGCTCTATATGGAATGCAACCTGAAAATGAAAATATAGAGAACAATGCAACTAGACAGATTTTAATTACTGCGAGAGGAACAAAGATAATCATCAGGCTGAATGGGTTGATATCAAATTTAAACCCCCACGCAATTTTCCATTATACAAAATATCATGTCTGTTAACTTCTGCTGACTTTTTATATTTTCCAAATAATTATAACTAGATATATCAAGGAAAATGCCAGCAAAGTCAGATAATGATCGAGTATATACTTAAGGTAGAGGAAGAAAAGTCTGTCACTGATAAAGGGAGATAATCACTTGTACCCAAATACCAAAAAAAGAGATCTGTAACTAATTTGAAGCAATACTAGTCTACATGTTACAATATATAAATAATATACAAAGACCATTCTGCTTCTTTTTCAATGATTAGAAATAATATGTAAATTAATAAAGCTTGCATAAAACTTTTTTTTAATACTTTTGAAATCTAATATTTTGAACAGATGCAACTCAGGTTGTCTTCCTCTGTATATAAATATGTTCAATGATGCTGATCCAAAAGTAGAAGGAAGGGAAGCACATATAAAGATTATAAATAGATAAACGACCTACCTTAACACCCTGTGCTGCTGCCATGTCTAAGATCATTGGCATGAGCTTATCAGGCTCCTCGCCCTGTGAGTCTGCATCCCCTGGGGGGTACCAGGATACTGCTATCACACCTGAAGAAAAATATGTACTGATAACACTGGAAAGCATTTAATATGGGATAATTTTCAATGTGATAGTCATTATTTTTAATCTACACTAATAAAAACAATTATGTATAGTAACATATATTTATACATTATTCAATCAATCTTTTATATGATTACTGTTGCTAAATATATGTCAATTTGCTTACAAACATAATCAATGGCACATCTCAAAGAAAATGTTTGTAAGCCACTGGATTTCATATCATCATACATAGTTATGTTAAAAACAGAATAGAAAATCTCATTTTACCTTTATAGGTTATTTCTTTTGATTCATTATACATTTTGGACAAACTGATTTATCAAATGGTGAAACAGCTTTTAGGCAGAAACAATCAGGTGAAAAAGGTGACAAAAATAAATCGGAAACAATTCAAAAATTTCCATTAAAAATTTGAATTTGACGTCACAGCATGATTGGTCACTAATTACACTTAAAGTATGATAGAAAGACTAACAGTTTCTAATTGGAAGAAATTCACACATAATCGTTCTTTATGTTATGCTCTGATAACAACATTTTGATTTGGAAGGTTTTTAATTAGTGAGTGTGCAACAGAAATATAAATACAATAAAACCATCACATGGACAAGATCAATTAGTCATATATTACCTATACCCGCATATTTAATGTCCTGTATATGCTTTCTCACAACTCCTGGATCCTTGGAGCTGTAGGGTCCTAGCTCTGGATAAAAGTTAGCTCCAATATCGTCCGGTGGGCTGTGGTGTCCAGACGGCCATTTCTTTGCTTCCTTGTGGTTCCAATGTGGCAAAAAAGGATGATTCCAGTGTAAATATTTTCCATCAAATGTTGGATTTCCATACCATGGGTAATAAAATATGTGAACATTGTAGTTTACATTTCTGGCTTCATTTATTTTAGTGTCATTAGCAAGGTTTTGCTTTGGTTTTTCTAAAGCTGCTGTCAGCACAAATTTCAAGCGACTTTTGTTTCCAGACATAGTCAAAATTTCATCAATCTCTGATTCAGGATTTTTTAGCCTTTCTATTTGTTCATCAACCTCTTTTCTCAGTGCTGCAAGCATTACATTTTCATTTTTTATTGGGTTTTTTATTTTTTCTAGTTGCTTTTCTAATGTTCTTTTATCTTTTTCCGTGATATTGAAAATCATTAAAAGTGTAGTTCCAAGGAGGCAAACAATGATGGCAGCTGCTGTGAGGCGCAACAGGGCTTTTCTTGACCAGAAATGAACCATATTGTTATTTTTTTAAATGTTGAATATATATCTCATTTCAACAGGGGAAATCCAAACATTTTCCTTTCATCTGAAATGGATTGAATTCAGTGCTCCTGAAAAGAAAGAGAAACTGAAGATTTGTACATTGTTAATATAATTCAACAGGCTGAACTTACTCGGGGGGGGGGGAAGTGTATTTAAAATTATTCATTAATAACAAAAATAAGACAGAATAGAGACATGTTAAGAAAATATTTGAGGCATGAGCATAAAAGAATGCTGCATTCATTTTGGGACTGGGTTGTAAATGACAAGTGATGTTTCAATAAAAAAACATTTTTTTTGTTTAGATTACCTCCCTTTTCCCATATTTCAAACTCATGTAGTCAAGTTAAAATTAATTGTACAAATATAAAATGCAGCACATCCATTTTTACAATGACAATGTGCATATTCTTATAAATCTCATCATGTACACACACCAAATCTCAAAATATTCTATCGAAAATTAGGTGAAACATTGTAGTCTCAAGGAACTGTAAACACAGTGGCATAAAAAAGGAAGGGAGACGGACAGCACAGTATAATAAAATGTCTCCTATGGTACGCATAAAAATCTAACAGAAAAGAAGTTGAAGTATGGTTTTGATGTTTAACAACTGTACATTAAGAGTTATGGAAATTATCTAATGACATGTTTAGCACAAATTAAAAAGAAAATGCTATAATGCTCTTTTGGAATAATATGAAAAAGAAATTTCTAAATTGGGCATAAAATACAGCTGAAATTGGTTTGATGTGCAAAAATGTCTCCATGCTGGTAACTCTGGTCTATTACCACTGGCCATGGTCAGCTAATTTTATTGGATATGATTGTGTCAACTTTGACGGTGCTTGTCAAAAGTATCTCACTGTATCTTGAATTATAAACAGTAACATTTTGGAATTTTCCGAAAGTTTTTTCAATAATTAAAAAAAAATGGGCTCCTAACTTTAGATACTGTAACTACCAGGTACAGGAATTTATAAGAACCATGTTATGTTTTGCTTTTTCATCAATATTTTACATAGTACTATGCTGTACTGTAGATCCAAGACATTTTATTTTTTCCAGGACGAACACTCAGCCAATTGAGCTACCTGGTTACGGTGACTTAACCCAATTAAGATATGCTATAACATTCCTCCCTCCCTTTTCTTAGTCTTCATCGAAGAAGACAACTATATATATATGTATATATATATGCTCTCTACGATCTGAAAAATTTGTTTTTATTCTATATTTTCCTTCGCAAGGACTTATTTATTTATTATCTACTATATATATATATATATATTAACAACCCAGGTTCGAGTATCCCCTTGCCAAGCATTTACCTGGTACTTGAAACTAGGGTTGACATTTTGTTCCTAAATCTTGTAATAGGAGAAAGAGAAATACAAAGCCAGACCTGTATTCTAATCCCGAGACCATCCAGACTCCAAATATATGAGCTACCTCGTCAACATACATTTGTAATATTGTGTAGCGGAACTGGACTGGGTCAACATTAATGGCAACCAGTTAGTTTAAGTTGGTCGAGTGTCCGTTAAAGAGTTTGAAGAGTCCTGTGTTCAAATCTCAGTCTGGTCTGGCTGTGCATTTATCGGTTCTTATTATAATTGTAATATGTGTTGTTATTTTCTTTTTCGGCATAGTAGGATTATCAGAGGAAATAGAAAGATAAGTCTAACGTTCTTGATAGACTCATCTCTATTGGGTTTCAGACCCTTTAGATCAGCCACAGGGGTTCGTTACAAATGTCTGAAATGCACATATGCTATACTGATATCAGTATAGCATATGTGTGTTGTGACCCATATCAGTATAACATATGTGTATTTCAGACATTTGTAACGAACCTCTGGCGACCAACGATCGATTATCTGCAATACAGTGGGAATAGTTTAGCGGACTGATATAACATTGACATTTAGTTATTCACAACCTTTCAACACTCAAATTCACCCATTTAAACAATCCACAACAGAAATGTGATTAAAAATAAAATAGAAATATACGTTCGGGTGGAAATGTGCTGACAAATATGCATTTTAAGTGAAATAGGACATACATCAAAATAAGTTTTACTTTCGTTTCCCCTTGATGTCAAAAATGCTTGAAGTAAGAGAACACGCTATTGGTTCGTTGAGATGAAAGCATCCAATCAAAACACAGATAACAAATCGCGAATTTGGAAATTATGGGTTGGCGTGCGACCGCCATATTGGACACCACGCCAGCGTAATGACTGCGTAAGATCAGTGAAAAGTACTTGTTTTTATCAGATAGAAACAGTGTAAGACGTACTGACCAAAGTATATCGACAGGATGGAGGCCGTTAGAGCCTTCAACAATGAGGTAAATATAGACAATGACAAGATTCAACGCGTGTACTCCTCAGTGATCACCATGTGGCCTACATGCTACACTACACTGTCTTCCGATAAAGCCGGCATGGAAGCGTGGGTATTGTTCACGAGCGTCTCATCGTGTATATCAGATTCGAAGATCGATGTTTATTCTGCGGACTTGTGTACAAGCTTCGTGTACCTTCCGTATATCCCGGTTCCATTGGTTTCACAATTGCGTTTGTTAAATTTTGTTTGCTCTTTCGATTCCCGACTGGGAAATTTAAAGAAATAATTCCTTATATTCAACCTCTACGACACTATGATGTTGTTAAATTTGCTGTGTTTTTGATAAAAAAAAAAAAGAAGGGATTCTCGCTTGCAGTAACTTCGATAGTTTTCACAAGTAAAAACTAGATATCCCTGTCCAACTGTTAAGGAGTCTTGAGGACTTTACACCATACAGCATACATTAGTTTGAAATAACTACAATATTGTCACTTCATGTTATGCCCTACGTTCTGCTCTCTGCCTAGCGACAAAACTTATGTTTGGCCAAATTTTCTGAATTTCATTTGCATACATACATGTAAATGTTCCCCTTGCATTTTGTAACTTTGTGTAGGATGTGGAATTGGACCCTCCCAAAAAAATCATTTGACATCTGGCATCATTTTTTAAGTGATATTTTTTTACAATTTTACAGAGCTTTAAAGGTATTTGGGTCTGTGGTCTCTGAATTGAAACACTGATGGTTTCTGGTTAGAACTGAAATGAATGATAAAGCATTCAGTAAATGAATACCAATGTCACACTGGGGTCTTATTGAATAAAATAGGGACATGTACTCTGTTCATGTTGTTGAAATGGGAAGTTTTTGTAGAAGACATTGACAGAAAATCTGAATAATTGCGTTGTGACACAAACTGTTTCAAAAATTGACTAGACAAGTTTTGAGAAAACTAAGAGTTGGTTATAATTACGTACAGTCAAACTTTTAATTTGAACTTTAAATGGGTTTTTTAGTCACCTTTATAATTGATTAGATACTGAAAACATACCTCCTAACGAAACTTAATGTAGTCAAAAATGATATGACCTGAAGCTAACGTCCAGTGTGGTCCCTTTTTCTTTTGGGAAAGCCAATGATATAGCTACTACCAAAATAGCGCAATATCTCAGAGGCCTTTCAGTGAGAAGTTAACATTGCTGTCGACGGACAACAGTGACTGATTTCCCACATAACAGATGCTTGTCGCTTTAAATTTACACAATACGAAGCAAGCAAGAATAGTATCATACTTGATAAAACTAATGAGAATTTTGTTTTCACAGTTTGATTTCAATAAAAAGAAACAGGTTTAATTATAGCATGAATGCAAGAGGGTACCGTAGGGAGAATCTCAAACTGCACAAAGTATAATATGAGATGGTTACAACGTAAAAATAACTTACTCATTTATAGTGATTAGTGAGATGTTGTTTGGAAGTTGTTATTGATTCAGAACAAGTGCCGGTACTTGTATTCCAAAGAAGTAAGCTGAATAAAGCGAGAATTTACCTACATTGCTTGGCTGGAAAGACATATTTGTTGGCTAGAAGTTCATGGACAGCAGCCGCTAAAATGTATGGTTATACAGTTAAGGATTTCTTCATTACAGATTAAGAACGCCATGAAAACAATTTCTCAACTCCAGTTTTCATTAAGAGTAGCAAACTATTATCCTGATTTTTTTTGTAAAAAAACAAACTTTCTTCACCAAGTTGTCCCTTTAATCTAAGTTTAACAGAACAACTGTCTATATTATATATATATTACATTGAACATTTTGTTTATGATTTAACAGTATTATTATGTATTGTATGATTTTGAGTCCCATAAAGAGGATTGTTCAAATCCTGTACCAAAATAAACTTAACTTGCTTTTACACCATGGCCTATGAAACCGACTATAATGCAGACAAATGTAATACACACAGAAAACACTTACATGCTCTGCTTTAATGTGAACCTGCTTGTCAGTGGAATACAATTGGGCTTCGTAGTCAAGTAAAGACATTGAGAAACATGTACAATGTAAGTTGTCCTCATGAGCCAGACACATATTGACTTGAAGGTCAATTAGACTAGTATTTATTATCTGTTTTATAGGCATGAAATTAAATGAATACTACTGTGCATGTTCCAGATAGATGCTATTTATAAGTCAAGGTCATTGTTGAACTTCTACATCATAGAACCAGAACAACACAGCAAACTTGCTGTGTCAGTGTCACTTCATGGCTATATATATACAGTGGTAGAATATATATATCTGGGCAGGTATGATATACTTCATTGCAAAATTTACTAATGAACCAGTTTAGTATGAGATCATTTTAATTTAGACAATGCAGAATGAAAGCTGTTTTGGGAAGTTCTTACATACAAAGGCACTAAGTAAACCTTCAGTATAGCTAACCATGCATGCATCAAACGTGGTGTTTTGGCAAAATTGTCTTCAGAATTACTACTTTCATTCTAATCCAGCTTCTGTTTAGTACAGAAAGATATATATTGATGATATTTATGTTGTATGTATGATGTTTTGAATAAATATCCATGGGGAAAAAAGCGACTGCATGTCAGAGAATTAAGATGCTTGTCTGTAGCAGTGCTTGAATGACTCGGTTACAAACACACAGCTGACTCAGTAAAGATTGCTATGTGGGCCAATTGAGTGCCTGTTTTTCACTCAAACATTTTTGACAGTTACAGACAATCTTAAGTTAGCAGGGCTAATTTGACTATGTAATTCAACCAAAGTGACAGACATTAAGATGAGGTTATTTCTGAGACATGTAAACCCAATGTTGCCAAGTAATGACTTTTGAAGTTAAGAAACAATGGTTAAATAAACAAGTAGACTGACAACCCTCTTTCTGTTAAATTAAAAGAACATGGTCATACTCTAGAAGTCTGATCAATGTTTTACATTTGATTTAGCTTTCTTTTTAACTGAAAAGTGACACATTGTATTTATCAGGGATAATCCTGGAGGGGGCCATGGGCCATTGAATCCCTCAAAACTAAAATTCCATGTTTCAGTTTTCTTTTAATTTTACATAGAATGGCCCTCTTTATTTTGCTTTTGGCTAAAGATTGTTGAAAATGACCCGTTGCTATCAAATTTCAGGATTTTCCTTGATTTATGTTTATAACGAATATATAAAAATGTTTGAAATGGAGGTCATAATGTTTTCTTTTCCTCAATTTCCAGCTCTCTTCATTGTATGAGACACGGCCACCCATATCCCGGGCAAAAATGGCCAATGTTACCAAAGGTGCAATAAAAGCTATCAAGTTCTACAAGCATGTCGTGCAAAGTGTGGAAAAATTCATTCAAAAGGTGGGTACATTTTTGTTTTTTTAGTGGTTGTAGTTAAATATTATAAATGATGAGTGTGATGAGGATTCTTTTGAATGGCAAACTGAAAGTAAGGTGACATTGATTTCAATGTTTTTTCAGGCTAAATTTTCAATATTTTTGAAGTGAATAATAGTAAGCATTTTTCAATCTAAATAAGGCAATATATGGAAACATAGAAGTGTATTCAAAAATGTTATAGTTAGGTCATATAATTTGTATAATGTGACTGGGCAGAACTCGGTGCTGGGTGCCTTTGGCATGGTATTTCAGTGAGATGGCACTATAAAGTTGACATCAGACGTTGCTATCTCTGTTTGAGCCAGAGAAAGCTTGAGCTATAAATTTACATTTTACGTGTAAAAATGAAAATTTAGCTTGATTTTTTTGGATGAATTTGTTCATTTATTGTAAACTAGAAGAAAAAAATCATTGATAGAGTATATACGTACACCAGATTGCAAATAAAAATGTTTTTTCTTTGCAGTGTAAGCCGGAGTACAAAGTTCCAGGACTCTATGTGATAGATTCAATAGTCCGACAATCTCGCCACCAATTTGGATCTGATAAAGACGTCTTTGCACCAAGATTTACAAAAAATGTTGTTGCTACTTTCCAAAATCTACTGAAGTGTCCACATGAGGAAAAGGTAATAAAAATTGAATGCAATCATCTAAATAAGGAAGATATACAAAACAATCTTTTCATCTGATATTATTTAATAAGTCATCCATGGTACTTCTGGAGGGTTTTTAGAATTGTCATTAGCGTATATCTTGTATACCTATCACTTAAATTTTTTTAATACCACTTAGAACGGTACAGTTACATTGAAATCAGGTTTCATACCCTACTTTAAACAAATTGGTGGACCTTTGTTTACTTTTTAATCCAGAAGTAGAGGGTGGTGGCTATGAATAGTGTTGTTCCGATTAATCAATTTAGTCGACGTCTGGTTGTTTGTTTCTGAAAATCAATAAATCGATCCTTGTTTTCCATGATCGATTATAGTTTGACTAATTTAAGTATTAACAAAAAATAAACTTGGATACTGTTATTACCGCCGACAGCGAGTTGTTCGTTCTTGGGCAAAAAAACTTGACCGAACATCTCGCACAACGATGACGCTGATTGGCTAGCCGTTCCACCCGACAACCGATCAGAGCTTGCGTTTCAATAGAAATGCTGCATGGCTCAGTCAGTGCGTGACGATATGGCAAACCAGGACATTCAGGAGATTTAAACTCTAAACGTTTGGAAAGTATTGTTGTCCTTTGCTGGATATAAATAAAACGCTTTGTGGAAAGTGTGGGCTATCTTACAAATAAAATGTTAAGTTTGACGGGGTGTCATCAGGTGAATACCAATCCATTGGGGCATTTCCGAATAGGAGATGGAGCTGTCACAGCATAATTGACATTGAAAACATCATCACCTCGTTTACGAAAGTGAAAGTAGATTTTGGAAAGCGAATATAACCTTAAATTACTGAATTTAAGTTCAATTTGATCGATCATTAGTCACTTGATTGGAAGTGATGATCGAGTATGAATTTACAAGCGATTCCCAACACTAGCTATGGATAGCTTAAAGTTCTTTGCTTTGCTCAATGAATCCTTCAATTCAAAATATTCTGACGTGTAAAGTCATTTGTAAAGGACAATATACTGAACATTTCTATGAAGTTTCTAAGATATCTGTTCAGCAGAACTTGAGTTTTAAGTTCAAAAGCATCTGTTTAGGTACTATTTGTAGCTTATTTGGATAATTGTAACCTTAAATTTAAAACTCTTGTGTCGAAGACGAAAATTGATCCATCAGTATATATCGTCTCCCTTTCAATTGAAGGGAGACGTATTGTATTAGGAGCCTAGTACTGGTTCTTCTTCTAATCGAACTTGTCCGGGCCATAACTTTTAAACCAGAAAAGATATCTTAATAAAACTTCAGGTATGCATGCATCACCCATAGAAGGTATGCAATGCACCGGAATTAGGTCACTGTGACCTTCACCTTGAGGTCAAATAAGTGCAACATTTTCATTAAATTCTTGTCTGGAGCGTAAATTTTAAACCGTTAAAGATATTTTGATGAAACTGTAGGTAAATGCATGCATCACCCACAGAAGGTGTGCAGTGCACTGGAATTAGGTCACTGTAACCTTCACCTCAAGGTCAAAGGTCAAATAAGTGCAACATTTTCAGTAAATTCTTGTCCAGCCCGTAAATTTTAGACCATTAAATATGTCTTGATCAAACTTGAAGTATACCTGCACAACCCACAGAAGGTGTGCAGTGCACTGGAATTAGGTCTTGTGCTTCACTATACTATAGTTATGGTCCTTTTTTTAATTTTAATACCGAAGTTTGTTCGGAGCATAAGTTCCATGTTATTTCACCTACGTTGACCAAACTTACCATATTTATGTATCTTAGGAAGGCGGTATCTCTCGCACTAAAATCAGGTTTTATGTCACATTCTCAATTCAGGTCTCTTGCCCCACTATATAAAGAGATATGGCCCTTTGTTAATTTTTTATAACAAAGTTTTAAAAAAAAATACCAAAATTTATTGGCTAATAAGGGGAAACATGTTTTCGTTCACAAAAACAAAATTCTAGTTTCTTTTTACATTTGGAACTTTGGAACTGTTTTTTCTTTCAGAGTAAAGTGATCAGAGTATTAAACTTGTGGCAGAAAAATGGTGTTTTTCAAAGTGAGATAGTACAGCCATTGCTGGATCTAGCTGTGGACTCAAATGACATGAATCTTGTTTCTGCTGGTAAGGCAAACCATACATCTTGACACAATGCTATAAAACTTAAAACAGTATTTCATATAATTCAAATTAGCCTCTTGTTGTGGAAAATTTACAGAAAAGTTTTGTGTTTATGATAAACTTTGGACGGTTGTTGTCCTAATTAACAGACACTAAGCACAACATTCAGATATTCTTAACAGATGCATGATGTTGCAATAATGTCTAGAAACAAGAAAACTGAATATAAGTGAGAAAAAAACCATGGTACCATCAGTACCGGTTTGAAAGATTTTATACACCAATGTAATTATTTGATGGATGAAATTTCCATTGTCACTTTTCATTCGTTTGCAATAACACCATTAATATTAATGAATTCTCAGCAATATTTAGCGAGTCTTCAAAATGAATTTGATTTTTTTTGAGTCCAAGGAGAAATGTTTTGAAAAATTGCTCTTATTCACTGACTACATGTAGATATCTTAGAATCATTGCAATATTTTATATGCCGTAGTATTAGTCTATGGGTGAATTATTTCTTTTAAAGCTCAAAGAGCTGTGGACAGTCTTACAGCAGACAAGGCTGGGCCCAGTGGAGCTGGCCAGGCTGGCCAGTCAAACACTGCGGAGGGAAGTGGTGATAGCATGGAAATATCCTCACAGAATGACATGCTCAACACCGTTACCCAGCTCCTTCAGCAGACCCAAACGGTAGGGTATGACTCGGTATGGATTATATATACATATCTTATCAACTATAACAGCAGCCTTTTTCAACATTTCTTTTTATAAATTAAGTAAGCAATGCATATAATAATCTTCGTTTTCTTATTTTTTAAATTGAAAGAAATCAACAATATTCGCCATAATCAGTGTCCCTTCTTAAACAGTGCGTACCCCCCTCCCTTCTCCTCCTCCTCCTCCTCCTCCTCCTCCTCCTCTTTGTGTGTGGACGGGGGGGGGGGATGATAGTTTCAGCATCCAATTTTCCAAACATGACCTTCTGTTCTGGTCTTTTCTGGTTAACAATACATTGTACTTATTACTTTTAGTTATTGTTTATATCAGACACTACAGTCACACACTAAGGCAAGACTGTTTTCAAGTGTTTAAAAAAAATGAAAAAAAAATCTTAAGGTAATGGATTGTGTCGCCATTTCTCAGTAGAATTTATTCAAATTTTGTAGTTATATTGCTTTGAAGTAAAGAAAATTTTCTGCCACAAAAAAAATATAGGTTGTCAGAATTTTAAGGATTTTAAATGGAAATTTATGTAAAAAGGAATCGAATTTTGAAAATTGAAACATTTCTTTTGCAAAATAATGTCAATAAAAATGATAATAACATAGATTAGTATTGCATTAATGTATATCAATTTCATAAATGCTGAAATTGTGTAAAATCAATCATTTATAAACGATTAAAAATTGACATTTTATAATAAAACCATATACACATAGTAATTGCAGGTAAGAGTTATCGTTCTTGAAAAACTTCACAGTAGTGAAATAGGTAGCCGGTTTCCTGAAGTACAGAAAAATGGACACATGTGACTCATTGATTTAAAAACAACTGAATTAATGCCTGGACTGCTTTGCAATACTATTATATTGAAAGAACACACTGTTCTGTCAATAATAAGCATACAATATTCATCATTTTAATATTAAACATTAGAATATGCGGAAATTGTGATACTGTCTCCCTACATTGGATTTTCAACTAGGGATGTACTTCCTATTTCCATTTAGCAATACACTCCTATGACCTTAATTGGAAAGTGTGTGACAATTATCATGTTGCCTTTACAGCAACTACAACAACCAATGTTTTATCTTAACACGGAGTTGTTTTGGCCAATTGTTTACACACCCTGGGCACTAATTATGGCGAATACTGCATTGTAAATTCAAACAAGCAATAAAAAGACTTACAAGTGTAAATATAGAATTGAATCCCGGATTTTATATTAATATTTACCTATGGTGTATAGATAATCCTATCTAAAGGAAACATCAAATGATTCACATTATGTTAAGGGAGTTTACGATTACAGAAGTACATATATTTACAATATGTTGTCAGGGAACCACAAGTCTCAGTGCCCAGCAGCAGCAGTTACAACAGCTTCAATTACTGCAGCAACAGTTGATACAGCAGACACAGTTGATGCAACAGGCACCTTCTCAACCAGGCTCATCTCACGCGATTGACAGCAATCTTCTGTCTCATATACAGACTCTCACAAACCAGCTTCTAAACAAGACTGACAAGACTGAAGGAGGCTTTAACAAGGTAGATTTACCTTTCTGACTTTATATACAGGAATGTCTTCCTGTTTTACCATAGATAGCCACAATTGATCAATATGATGAATACAGCTTATGTTTTCCTGTAGTGTTTTGAATAACATTATTGTATCTCAAAGTAAATATAAACTAGGTATTAAGAACAGATTCTTATTGTGCATTTACTTTAATTATGAAATAAAATTTATGATGTATTTAAAGAGGCAGGGAAAGTCCGTAGTGACCAAAACTCTTCACAGACACGCCTAGTTAGCCAATCAGTTATTTTGACAGGTGGTCAACAGATCTAAAACTACCAAGATTTTTTTATTCGGATAGTCCATCTTAATTCCAATTTTTTTTACTTTCAAAATCATAGTAAATGTATTATCCACAGGTTGTTATGTTGAGATAAAAGGACAGTAATATTGGGTTGTTTAGACACTCATATCCTAAAATGGGTTTAGCTCCATAACCATAAGATTTAATGACAAGAAACTAGTTGATAAAAACACTTGTTGCCGAGGTGGTAAATTTTGTGCCGTATGACTGTTGATTGACAAGTCATGTTACGAGTCTTAATATTGTAACACATGTCTTTTCAACGAAATTTCAACTAAGTTTTGATAATGCAGCATAGTACAATCGTCAGGTTTTAATGGTCATGTTCAAGCAAACGTATTTATATATAATACTTTTCCTTTTATTTAATCCTAGGAGTGCATGTAGAATGTTGAATGGGCGCTTGGATATTGCAAACATTATATTTTTAGATGGTTGGGGTAAAAAATAAGATTGAAAATTTGATCATAGATTAACTTTTTTTTTATTTCTTGACATGCATTGAATATTTATCAAATATAATGGCAACATTAAGCTTTCATTGTTTAAAACCAAAACATGTGTTTCAAAAAAATACCTGGTTAGTCAATATGTACATGTCTTCCCCTTTCAGGTTATCTTGTTATGCTTGCATGTTGCTGCTACATACACAGAATCTGTACTAATATTTTACTCTCTTTTTCAGAAATTACTAGATTTTGACTATGGTGAAAGTGATGAGGATGATGAGCATGGGATGTCGGGTGCAGGAGGGGGTGGCGGGTAAGTATGCTGAAGAATTGGCATAAAATGTTGTCTGTATATATAAAGTTGAAATCACTACACAGATATAATCTTTCTTAATCAAAAGCTTCCTTGCCTTCTATTTTATCTGTTCGTTTTGATATTCAATAAAAAAAAAAACAGTAATAGAAAGTTTATGGATTCGGCATTGAATCAATAAACAATCGTTCAAGCAAAGCGACATGACCCTAACTTTTCCAAAAAATAGGGCTAGTAATAAATACATAGTGCTATTTTTTCATCCAAAATGATCAGACTAAATTTATCATGAATAGTAAGCTAAAGAATAAAAGTAATTTGATGTTCTTTTAATTTTTTAGTGTGCCAAACCTTTTAAATGATCCAGCTTTCTTGCAACAAATACAACAAATGTCTCAAACAATCCAGAAGACGGAGCAAATACAAAATGAATTGAGCATGCAGAAACTTCTACAGCAACAGGCTGAATTCGACCAGCAAATTAGACAGGTGAGAATGAATATACCGGAATATTACAAAAAAAAAGAATTTAAGGAAAGTCTTATTTACTTAAGAAGTGGTGAGTAAAAAACATTATAACGTTTACATTAAAATGAGGAAATTAATGTATGTTGGATTGAGGAAATGGAACTTTCACAACTTTTCATGTAAAACACTTGTTTTTCTATACAGCCTCCAATGCAACAGATTCCCTCCCTCATGCCCCCTGAGCCACACCCTCCTCCTCCTATGCAGCCTGGGTACCAAATGATGCCAGAACATCAGCCTCCCGTGGACGATTATCAGGACATAGATGAACGATCTCAGGAGCCCATTGAAGAGGAGCGTCACAGAGAGGATAGAGATAGGGACCGCAAACACCGCAGATCAAAGCAGTCATCAAGAGATCGATCTCGCTCTAGGTTTGTACTGTTATTGGTATGATATAAATTAATGGTAATTTAGCATGCCTTGTCAAAAACCATCATCTTTTCAAAAAAAAAAGGGGGGATATAAGGTATGGTATCAGCAATTTATAATTTAACCATATCGTTTGTTAAAACAGATGACCATGTCCATGGCTAACAACATTATTTCCATTTACCTTTGTGTTTATATTCTATTAAAAATGGTATCAAGTATTTTCAAACCAGAATTCTCATCAAACACAAAAATTAATTTATTATGATCAAATTAAAATATTTTTCAGATTAAAATTACCCTTTGATTGATCACTGTTACTTTTCCTTTGTTTTGAAGAACTCCTAAAAGAAGGCGACGTACAAGATCCCGATCCCGAGACAGGCGGAGAAGATCAAGGTCACGAGACAGGCATCGCAGGTCAAGGTCAGTTAATGGACACAATATGTCATCAGGAGTATTTTGTTAAATAGCAGGGTACAGGCTAACCACTTGTCCACTCATCTTGACTCGGTAAAAATTGAAAAGGACGAGTGGAATTTACCACACTTGTCCTGGTACTGAGTAAATAATAAAAGATACATTCACTAGATATGTTGCTTAAGTATTGTGCTGAATACGCATTCAACTACTTAAACAAAGTTACATGCATCACATCATCTATAAAGATAGACATTATACAAACCGCCCTTTCTATCCTGAATGATCTAGCTGAAAAACTGATGAAAAAAATGGCATGTGGAAAACAAAAGTGGTCAATTTACTGTTGGTTTTAATTAGCCATTTACCTCTCATTGTATTGTTATTATGGGTCCCACCTGGTAAAAATTGGGCTTTCCCAGAAATTCTATGTCTCGCATCAAAACTCTCTTAAGTATAGGACTTGGTACTTTTAGATTTATCATTGGAACACTGATGGGATAGTTCACATTTAAGCTGGGCATATGTTTAATTGATTTAAACACTACTACCAGAAAAATTAATTGACCACATTTCATGTAAAGAAATTGCCTGTCAGGTATTGTTTGTTTAATCAAGATGGATACATTTCAGGTCCCGTGACAGGGAAAGGGAGAAACTAAGGGAACGAGAGAGAGAAAGAAGGAAGAAAGGTTTGCCAGCAATCAAAGAGGAATGTCTCAGTAGTAAGTTTGAGTAATATTAAATTGCTTCTTGCACATGTTCACATTATATCTGTCCTAAAATATATTCATGTTCTGATGAAATTAGAAATTAAATATTGACAATAACTAAATGCCACTTTTAATAGGTATAGGTAAGTAAAGTCTCAATTTTTTATCTCAACAAATATGGAAGTATGTGAGGCAAAAAAAAATCCATAAACTGTTTAAGATATTGAAAGAAAAAGTTCTGGTACAAATAGATTATTGTTTATAGTAAACAGAGATTTATATTAAGTGTCTTCTTGCTTTCAGTTTGTTCCACAACACTTTTCATTGGTCACTTGGCTAAAAGCACATCAGAGGAAGAATTACGAGGGGAACTAGACAAATATGGAACTGTGGACACGCTGCATGTAAGTTACACGTTTCATGTCTAAATCAAGGTAAAGGGCTTTCAACTTCATGTATCGCTATTAATTTTAGCAATTTCATACAATAATACTGAAAACATCAGCGATTCAAGAGAAATCTTCAAATATATTTTCCTTCACAATTGTAAATGTACATATTTGAGATGCACTTTTCAGAATATGTAAAATAGCATCTGTAATTTTGTGTGTTCATGAAGATTGTTAATGAAATAATAAAATAAAATCAACATGGGGGGAAATAACCGCCTATTAATCTTTCAACCTTTCTAATCTAAAATACTGGCCTCGCGTGTGGCATTTAAACAACCATATGAATACAAAATTGAAAAAGGTACTTGAAAAGAAATTTCCCATCGTCAATACTCTCTGCACCCCTGATATATGTTATAGCAAAATTAAAGGCATGCAGATAGCTACTTGTTTTGTCTCGGGTAAAAAACTTACACCATTTGCTAGGATGATACTTGTCCCTCGAAGATTACAGAGCAGCAACACCCGAATTCAAAGCCAGTCAATTTTGTCATAACATATTCCAGGGGTGCTGAGAGCGTATGTGAACATAACCCCTGGAGAATCGAGGATGGATATTTCTATAAACAAACTGATATAACTTGGGTTTACAAAACAAGTGAAGATAAATCATCAGAATTAATAATCTATTTTATTTCGCACGTTTTTGGTACTAATGCTCTTTCCTAAAAATTATGACTATATACTGGAAATCCAACTTTTGTCCTTCGACAGTAAAACCCTTATTCGCCAATGTTAACTCATCCACCCCTGAAGTTTCATAATGAACAATTCCAACCTTTGAATTGGAAGGGTTCAAATGTGTCTTCAGGGGTGATTGAGTTAATTTTGCCCTTAACATTTAATCACAATGTATTTTATGTTGATTAATAATGTTTGCTATAATGAGAAATGCACCCTCATTACGTAGGGCATAATAGGGGGAAATTTAACTGCAGTGAAAATTTCACTGTATACAGGAACCTGACTCAGTCTGATGACTGCTTGACAAAAATATATCGTAGACTGATGATATGATGTATTTTGATTTTTCAGATTATACCTCCAAGAGGATGTGCATTTGTGTGTATGTCGAGGAGGAAAGATGCAAACAAAGCATTAGACAGATTGAAGGGATACAAGCTCAATGGATCTGATTTGAGAGTAAGTACTAAGGTTTGATAATCGGGGAAAATATTGAAAAAAGTTATGATATCCACCCCTGATAAGTACTCAATGCATCGTCAACTACTATAAAATACTGGTCTGCTAGTTACAACTAAGACAATTGGATGCTATGATTTTGTTGTAGAAATTGTTATTTGTATATTTTATTCCAAGCTGTCATTGGTTATAAAACTCAAAACAATTTTAACTCATTTGCTTATCAAAATGATATTGGTTACCAGGTTGCTTGGGCCCCTGGTATAGGTGTGAAGGAATCCGAGTTCAGGGAACATTGGGAAGTGGATGCAGGGACCACGTACATCCCTTGGAGCAAGCTGCCTGATGATCTCACTAACTTAATAGGTGGAGGAATCATTGACGAGGAGACATTACCGGAACATCTAAAAGGTATAGCTGACATGTATAAAGATTGTCTTCTCTATACAGGAAAGGAAGTAAGAATGGGAGAGTACTTACTTACTACATGAGCAGCTGTGAGCTGAGCAACAGTTGCTCATGTTTAGCATGTTGTTTTCAAGTGAACATTACCCATATATACTGCATAAATCTGGGTAAATTTCAACTTCAGTTAATCCATTAAAAAAAAAGGGTTGACATATGTTTTTGTGTTGCGGAAACAAAACTAAGGTGTTAATTTTCCAGCAACGGCAGCATCCACATTGAGTTTATGCGCTTAAAGTAAGTTTCACTGAAAGTATAAGTGTTAGACAAACCAAACCTGGACCATAGATGCATTTTATGCTGTACATCTTAACCCATGCATAAAATGCTGGATGTCTACATTGAGTTTATTTCACTGCTATGTGTATTGATGGTCAAAGCCATGCACAGGCGAGACATATCAGTCCGAATGGCTTGTTATACTACCCAATGGGTAGCATATTGTTTAGCATTGCATATATTTTGACACTACAAATCAAGAAAATTAAAAGCAAAAAATGTTTTCAAGATTCGTGCAATTTAACAATGTTTTTTCCCCATGTGATCGTTTAATTATTGGCCAATTGCAGTCTTTGTTATGACAAGAAATACCAGATTGAAATTATAATTGAAACCGCGAGTTTGACGAAGGGGAGACAACTTAGTAAAGCAAGAATGTATGAAATCGTTAAGATGATGAAGAAGTATGATTGAATAAATCATGTAATTAAACACTTTTGTAGAAATTAGATTAATGAGATAAGTGTTTTGTTACTATAGGTTCTCTGATTGGGAGGGAAATGCCAGATGTTGCTGAGGAACAGAGCCAACAGGCTCCCCCACCTCATCCTCCGCTGCCCAACAGCCAGGGACCACCTCCTCCAATGGGACTACCAGGCCCTCCGACCAGCGGGCCTCCTGGAGGCCAGTTTCCTCCTCCTCCTGTCCCAGGCAAGTCTGCTGCGATTATTTATAATAAAGTTGTTTTCTTGGCATTTCCTTTGAAATCAATGCTGTTTGTTTTCACAGTTATACTTTTTGATGTATTAAAATTGTAAAGTGCTCTGTATCAATACACATTATTCATTTCACCACTTGTCTCTATTGAGAAAAACATAAAAATGTGAAGATAAAAATATGATTATGAAATTTGTTAATTTGTTCATATTTGCATTCAATCAACTTCTAAAAAATGTGTTGATATCGGGGAAACAGCAAAAAAAGTGGAATCAACTGATGCATGCAGTGTTTATTATTTGAAGAACATTATCCAGGTGATGTATTGATATGAAAAAGTAGACAATAATGACATGTTTATAAAGTTTAATTTTGCCTCTGCTTGATAATTTTAATATGAACAGTCTGTTGTCAAGGGTCTATGAACCAATGTTATATGTAATTTGTGTTACAGGTATGTTACCCCCTACCTCTGTGATGCAACACATGGGGGTGATGCAGCACATGATGGTACAAGGAGGACTTCCTGGACAAATGCCTGGGATGCCACCACAGATGACTATGGCAGGCATGCCCCCTCAGCTTCAGTCAAGCCAGGGTATTCCCTCAGTGCCTGGCATGATACCCCTCCCAAGTGGGATGCCTACAGTCAGGCCTCAGGTAATGGTGCTTATTTAGGCCAACAAAATTCTCTTTAGTCAGGAACTTTTGTATATGAAGGGATATTTGTTCTAATTACCAGATTTCAAAGAAATTCATAGATCAAGCATCTTTATTATCCCTTCGCAACAAAAGTTCCAGGAGATATAGGATTCCACTCTTTGTCATCGCTCTACCGATTTCATTTCTCAACAGAATTTCATGAAACTTGATACAAGTGTTTGTTATGACAATACCTTGAACAAGTTGGCATTTTGGGTTACTGCATCAAGGTCAAGGTCACCTATTTTTTGTCTCGCCGACACAAAGAAGTGGAAACGAGACTTAGGTATTGCTTTTTCTAGAAAAAAATTGTCATTGTTCTACCGACTTCATTCAAGTTTGACTTCAAGTGTTTGGTATTGCGATGCCTTAAACAAGTTCTCGTTTCGGGTTTCTACGTTGAAGGTCAATGTCACTGTAACTATTTTTTAGAAAAAACTTTGTCATCGCTGTAGCGACATCATTTTCTCTTACATATGTCACAATGTGTGCCTTGTTTTAAATTCCATGGGAAGGCAATATGTTGCACCCTAAAACCAGATCATTGTGACTTCAATTCGACCTTTAATCATGACCTCAAGTACTAAAATAATGGTTTGCAGAGCATATCTTAGCCATTGTTTCTTGAGTGGACATTAAACTTTGTCTAATGGTTCATCATGGAAAGACAGATTGTCACACCATAAACGAGGTCACTGACCTTAGCTTGAACTTTGATCTTGATGTGAAGCAATAATATGCAGCTAAGTACAGGTTTCCTCAGCATATCTTCCTCCAAGTTCACTAAGCTCTGAGATCAAAAGTTTCATCTATATTTGCTATAGAAAACATGTTGTTTGGGGCCTTTTTTGTTGCTCCAGGTGGCTCCCGTTTTGAAAAATTACTAGTTCATAATGGCCTGGTGGATTTAGAAATATTTTGGTCAGAGCAATGTTTGACCAGGGAACAACACCCCCAACACCCCCCAGTGCACAGTCAAAGATGGTCAACTATTATCTGAATGGCTAAGACATTATTAACTTCTTATTAACTTCTTTTTGACTTCGACCAGGCCAGTGCCAAATTGATCTGAATAATAATCTGGACAGGTGCTGCTACTTTTGTTTTGATTTGAAATTGAATTATCCTCCACTCTATCTGTTAACCAGTCTCAAAGCTATACCGGGGGGGGGGAGGGGATTTAAAAAAATTGACTAGTTAAGATAATATATATATTTGATATAGCAAAAGAAGTATTTGAAAGATCAATGTCCTATTGTCTTCTGATTTGAATTTGTAAGTGAAATAAATTTGAATTTAATGATTCAACAGCAGTAAATGTGCAATATTATACTGTAGATTTTTTGACACTGCCACCTTTTTTCAATGAAACTAGGGCACTTTTATATCATCAACCTGTGTATTATTGTATTAGATGTGCTGTGAATTGCAACAGATAAAGTCATTTAGGTTCAACCTATATTTGTTCACATCATTGTGAAATCAGATGTCAAAATACCACTTTTCTCATTACAGATAGGACAAATATCCTCTGCAGGAGGCTTACCACAGATAACATCAGCTGCAGGGTTGCCTCCTTCCAGTGTGGCTAGTCTATTTACCAGCACAGGTGGGCTGACCCATGTGTCTGAAGCTGCCATCAATGCTGCTCTACGCCCAGGATTCCCGGCTGGGGCAGGATTCCCTCAGCGCTTTGGAATCAATTTGCCCCCAGGACAGGGCTTCAGGATGCCTTTGTTTAATCCAGCACAAAACGTGCTCCAACAACCCCAAATACAGCCCAAACCATCTCTGTTGGGAATTAGACCACCATTCAATATTAATCCTGCCGATAAGAAAGAAGAAAAACCGTCTCTGCTCGGTCGCCCCCCTGGTGACTGGCAGCAACAGTCAAAGCCTCAGCCTCCACCAGAATTCTCTGATGATCTAGACACAGATGACCGTGATATTAGAGAAAATGCCAGTAGTAGTTCCCAGTCAAAACAAGAATTTGGTGGTATTCCACCGTTTGGATCTCAGGGAATTCAGGCAGCTACACAACAGGACAATATGAGTCAATCTGGCCATCCCCCAGGGGCTGGCAGAGGTATGGGACCAGGTCTTGTGCACCCACCTAATGTTGGCATGGCTCCTCCAAATTTTCGAGGACCTAGACCATTAATGGACATGAATGGACCCATGGGCCCAGGCATGGGTCTAAGAATGGGAGGACCACCAGACGCATCAAACAGATTCATGAGTCCCAGAGGACCAGTGCCAGGCAACATGGGACCAAGAGGATTTCAAGGGGGTCCTCCAGGGCCTGGTGGGCCAAGGGCAGGTTTTATGGGCAACAGGCCAGGGATGCCCTTTCAAAGGTTCCCTGGTAATTTCCAACCAAGACCTGGTTTTCGAGGACCTCCTGGTGATATGATGAGGCCTAGATTTGATATGGGAGGCAGAATGAATGCTCATGATGGGGAATCGGGTAATGATGAAGAAGAGGACAATTTCCGCAAAGAAGAGAACTTTGAAAGAGGACGCCCTCCTTTTGGTAAAGAAGAAAGTGGTCCCCCAGGGCAGAAATGGGGAGATAATGATGACAAGGATGATGACTTTCAAGATGGAGGTGGATTTAGGAGGGACTTCAATAGAAGGGATAGAGGAGGACGAGGTGGAAGACGTGGGAGGGGGAGAGATAGTTTTGGTGGTAGAGATGACAGAAGGGGAGACTTTGATAGGCGAGACAGACGAGATGATAGATACAATAGGGATGACCGGGGTCGGAATGACTGGGGAAACAGGGATAGAGGTAGGGACAGGCGTGACAGAGACCAGGACGGTCCAGGCTTCAGGGATAGGGGACGAGACAGGGACGATGAACAAGAGTCAGTAGGATTCAGAGACAGGGGTAGGGAAAGAGACGGTGAACAGGAAGGTTCTGGGTTCAGAGATAGGGGACGGGATCGTGAGGGTGAGCAAGAGGGAGGAAGCTTTGGCAGAGACAGGGGTAGGGAGCGAAGGGAACGTGACAACCGTGACCAGGACCGTGACAGAGGAGCAAGGAGAGCTAGTAGGTGGAGTGATGTGACGGATGTTGAACTTCAAGAAAGTGCACCTACTTTACCGGAAGTGTTACCTGATAAACCGGTTGAAGCTGAGGTGAAAGGTCCAAAGGAGGATGGAGAAGTGGGTGGATCTCGGGAGGAAGGGGAAGTAGCAAGTACCCCTGCTCCGCCCCCACCTCCTGTAGTTAATGTACCAGACAGTGTAGTAACTAAAGTGAATGATCCAGAACATGAAAAAGAGACCCATCCGGTTCCTCCTTCGGACAATATAGTGCCGGTTGTTAAACCAGTGACAAATGGAGAAAGTGAACCCAAGCCTGAGGAACCTCCAAAGCGAGATCCAGAAACACTAGAGGAGGGTGAAATAGAATGAAAGTACTGATTATTTTAGGCTGATTTTGTGTTTCTTTGTATTGTGCGTCTTCAAGAATTTCCTCTGTTCATCAGATGGGGGGAAAACAGATGGAGTAATGAATGTGATAGGACACGAGTCGTTTTCATGAATTCAAATCATCCTTCAATTATCATTAGTATATTACAACAAAAGAACTTCAGAAAGAAAATATCTGTTGCCTGTTGATATTTTATGGATCGTGTTTGTATTTTAAGCTGTGAACTGCTTATAACCAGAAACAGCAAGATTTTATTTCTCTGTTACTAGACCCAACATCCGTGATGTAAGATATATAAATTATATGTATATATAGGTAGGAATGGTAATTTAGTTTAAGTTGCATCCTTGTGTTCATTTTTTTTTTATCTAGATCATGTGGAATTAATTGTAAATATATGGTTTTAATGCTGTGTCTAGCCCTTCGAATGCAAGAGCCTGAAAGCGAGTGTGTTGTATGTATGTCTGAGAAACTGAGTTGTGCTGACAATTTGTAGTTTCTAGTATAATATACTATCTTTATTGTATACTGAATATACCATCAATGGTTAGAAATGTTGCCGATGTCCTCATCATGACAACGGTAGAAACATCATGTTGAGTGTAAAAAATTGTCTTTTTGTATATTTTTCAGTTTGCCATTATTTAACAGGCATATTATGTTAAGTTCTGTCTACAAATTTTCAACTCACTAGGTCAGGTTTTCTCTTCTACTTGGTCTAAATACCACTATCTACATAGTGAAAAATAATTTCAGGTATTTCTCGAATCCCTGTTAAGGATCCCTGTCCCATTGCACTGTGGATTTTCAGATATACAGTAACCTCCCCTTAACTTTCATTTGGATATGATCATTACAATATTAATTGCACCACAACTTCCCGTTGACCATGCTAGGTAGCTCAATCGATTAGAGGGAAAGTATATTAATCTGTAGTCAAGTGTTTAAATCTTGTTTAGCCCCACTGAATTTTTTCACTCCAGAACACTTGTTGATTATATTCTGCAAGGTATGTCTTTTTTTCATAAATGATTTATCGAAGCTATAATCCCACCGGAAAACAGTTCCCCATGTGTGGTTAGTTTTTGACAGTGGTATGGGGATCCTTAAGCAGACGAGTTGTGGGTACATTTGCATCAACTGCTTGGGTGCGAGTTAAAACTAATTATGTAGAACATATCAAAAATGGTCACGTAAAAGTTTGTGGGTTTATTTTTTCTTAATAACAAGTAACAAGTACCAATTTCCGATGGAGTTCTAATGGATACTTTCTGGGTTCCTTTTATTACTGTACTATTGGTACATTATTCAGACCATATTTGGTATATAATGTATATCGTTATTGATTCTATTTATGCTGGTGAAACATTTTGAATGAGTGAAACATTTTGAACGAGTCTTGTGTCAGTGAATCAGAGGTATGCTCTCAACAAGGAGAAACCTCCAATAAAGTCATGAAATGTGAGACGTGTTGAATTCTGTTTTTAGGATTTTGTATATATCTATAAGGTTCAGGAAATTGGCCAACAAGTTACTATTTTTTACAAGTTTGACAATAATTTCATTGCTCGAGGGATTTTTTTATAAACCGAATTTGAAGAACTTTATTGCGTGTATATTCATTAATGACATGTAATTGGGGATTCATATGTAAAATATTCTGAATTCTGCAACAACAGAAGTATTCTGATCATTAATACAAACAAAAGGAAAGGGGAAAAAAAGTTGGAGGGGAGAGAAAAAAATCAATTCAGAAATCATCGACTACAGAGTAAATGCTTTTTTCCTCGTGTATGTGAGGATGTAGGATAGATGCTTCCTTATTAATTTCAAATTAAATGTAATAGTACAAACATTTTAAGGTAATATCAAGTCAGCAAGCAGGAAAATGGGTAAAATTGTAAGAATTGTAGCAAAAATCGTTGTGAAACCTAACGAGGAATAGAATAAAGCTACGAGGGATTTATGATTAACTTTTCAACATGTTAATTTGAGGTACCTTCTTAGTACCCTTCTATTCGAAATGAAGAAATAGCATGTGAATCACAAAAACAACTACCGTACATGGTCTGGATACCACTAGCTACATAGCGAATTGTTATCAAGTTTTCTGGAGTTGTGTTGATATGGAATGATAGTTCAGTTAAGCACACTTGTGGGTACATTTGCGTCGACAAGTTGAAATTAACAACTGTGAAAAATGTCTAGTGTCGGTTTTATTTGAGGAACCTGCACAGTACACTTCTAAATGAGGAAATGGCATGTGAAAAATCACAAGAATGAATCCTTGAAATGTCGTCGGCACCCAACATAATAACTAGGCTTTAAGGTAAGTGGCAATTCAAAACTGCAATGGTGGTGAAGCATTCATATAAATCCAGTTATTACAACACTTATTTTTGTCAATAGTAAATGGTTCATTGAAGATGGAATTCCAAGGATATTGTGAAAATATTAACAGGAAAGTGGTCGAGACTTGGTCAACATGTAGAAGTAATTTGTGCTGTTCAGTTTGAACTGGTTACCGTTAAATGACCAATGTCACAATAGTGTCTGTATGTGTATCTGGTTCATCCTCCTATTCCAAATTATTATTCATGTTTCATGCATATGTTGAGCTATTATTACTGGTATGTAGCTTTTTTAAGCAAGTTGTAAACATGTGAAAAACTGGAAAAGATATGGTAATGAAATGCCTTTTATAAACTGAATTTTAGAAATATGTACATCCTTCTTACTGTAGATACTGCAGGAATTACGATCACTTTCGCTTGATCTGCACCTCTGGAATATGTCGTAGCAAAATTGAAGGAATGTGGCTAGCTATTTGATTGGTTGATGGTAAATAAACCTGACCAATCTCTAGGCTGATATCTGTCCATTTAAGATAACTGAGGAGCACCAAAGCCTTCCATTTTGTAATGACATATTCTAGGGGTGCAAGGAGCAAAAGTGAGCGTAGCCCTTGGAGTATCGAGGATAAACAACGTCTTGTCTGAAGCGTATTTAAATGGATTTGTTTTAAAAAGTGAAGGTCCCACTAGCATAGGGTTAAATGTATAACAAATTACAAGTTTACCTTGCACACGGACCAGTGTAGTGTATCTGTCTAAGATTATATTTATAATGGAAGGTGTTTTAATTTAGATTTTATTTTTCCCAACATTTGGAACAATTATAAGCTCCATCATAAAAAGCTGGCAAAAATCACATTCAACTCCATTTGTTTCCGATTAAATACATTTTAATCACATATACTTGCCAGCACCACTTGGCATGTCAACATTTATTTGTATCTCATTTTTTGTGCAAATAAATCCTAATAAAGAAACTTTTGTCAGAAAACTTGTTGTTCTTAATTTCTATACATGATTAGTAAAATTCACTGCTTGCACTTCAGCCTGTAGTCATCAATTTTGAGACTAAGTTACACTTTCACATGTACACAAAATAATTAAATTATTAAAAGATACACAAAAATGCACCAAGAGTGAAAAGAACGACAAAGTAACAAACTTTAAAAAGGCAAGACCCAATAACAAGAATAATTGATGTGGTTTCTACAGTTCTGACTAGTACTGTTTAACTGAACAAGACTCCTGCTTAGTTTGAAAATTAAAAAAAAAATGATATATTAATTGATTTCCATGATGCTTCGTTACGTCTCGTATGTACACATAAATTCTAGTCAAAAGTCGGTCCGTCATCTCCATGGAATGAAGACTTAGTTCTTTGCGATGCCGATCACACCACATGCCAGTCTTGCCCCAGCATTTCCTGTGGTTTTGCTTAGTTCATGGCCACCTTGTCCAAGGTCATCCACATCAGCATGAATCTACAATGGTAAGGACACTTGTCTTATATGCCACGATTATATTTTTTTTGTTTAAAGAAAGTGCGCTGCTCATGTCATACAAACAAAGTACTTTCAATTTATGATCATTTTGTGGTGAAATTTTATGAATGGCAACGAAGCAATGTCCACTTACCACCAAGGTTCTGCCGATGACAGAATGTTGCCCCTTCAATGTGACCAACTTATCTGTTAAGTCAAATTTAGCTACTCCATCGTTTCCAGCCATTACATTTCCGAGATCACCATAATGTCTTTCTTCATCTCCTGGAGCCCCATGAACTTTACCCTCAGGGTTGAAATGTGACCCAGCACTTGTACAACCTGATAATAAGAGAGTCAAAAACTACATATTCATTATAACAAGGGGACAATACGACATTTGTTATTAGTATATATATATATATATATAGAATAAAAACAAATTTTTCAGATCGTCCGCTAGGCCTTTCTGCCTTCTAGGGCTTCTTCAGGCGGATTGATCAATAGGCAGAAAGGCCTAGAGGACGATCTGAAAAATTTGTTATTATTCTATATTTTCCTTCGCAAGGACTTATTTATTTATTATCTACTATATATATATATATATATATAGTACATACTATGAAAAGATGATGTATTTCCACTGCCTTCTAAATCACTGAAGTGTTTAGTGCCTCCTGTATAAAAACACTTTTGGCTGATGCTACACTAACAACTACTGTTCAAGTCTGAAATGTTGTTTCTAAATTCTATAGCAAATTTTATAAAGTATTTAATTTTCCTTCCTATTGCTATAAAAGCAGAAGAGACCAAAGCAGTATGTCAAATTAAGCAACAGCACCATGGTTCCAAACTTGCTATGATCAAGCAAAAAGATCTTGATTTCTTTTTTTTCTATAAAAAAGCATACAACAATTCGATAATGGGATGGGACAAATTCATTTCTAATTTCATATAATTGATTGCAAAAAAAATTAATGAAATATGGATGGAACATTGAACATTATGTTTTTCTTTCACAATACTAGGAAGATATTGTATGCCCCCACCCCTGGTTACTGAAGACACAGATGGTTAATATTTACTTATGACGTCATTTCAATTTTAACATCACAATACTCTCCTCCAAATGCAGTACTTTCCATTACAATGCAAAAATTCAAGTTATGGTATAACAATATAATTCCTCCACAATGGTTGTGCAGAGGCAAGAGATTACATTGTATGTAGTTGGATACACAAGATTTTCAGAGTACATGCTAAGTAACAGTTAACCTTTTTGTACCTCAGAAAAGCAATTCTGATTGCAAGTTTAGTTAAGAAAAACTGCAGCTGTTTTGCAGAAAGTGGTTTTCCATCTAGATGTTGCCTTTACCTTTGGCCCATTTATTTGAATCACCCAAGTTAAGGGACGAACTACGGACAACAGGAGAATTGAATATGGTGGGCTAAAAATGTGAAAAAGTTTACGCATGACGAGGGGGAAAAGAATGGCAATATCTCACTCGTGAGCAATAATGTGAGCTTAAAAACTGTTTTAGTTTTCAGTTTAATAGATCTAGAGCATAGTTGGGCGTACATACAATGTAGCTGTAGGTAACTCTGTCCGTTGGTACATAAGAAGGAAAATTGTGTTGGATCCCAAACGAGTATTTTTCCATCAATACGTACCATTGGTATTGTCGCCAAACTCATGCACATGGAAGCCATGGTTCCCTGGGGCCAATCCAGATATTTCTCCTGTCAAGTGGACTGTATCATTTTCCTGAGGACCAAATACAAATGAGACGAGTTTAACAACAAAACTTAAATTCTATGACTCCCCTAGTATGAACAACAAGAGATCCCAGAGGAATCTTGGCATCCACCTTCTTCATTAGTTCTTTGTCAGTTTAATCTTTTCTAGCTTCTTTTCTCTGTTTATCTAAGTCATGTTATCATGAGTAAATGCACCTGGAGGTAACTTTTGATCTTATCTTAATACTGCTGTGTTTAAAAGATAGAGTTTTTTCGTTTTACATATACTACTAGAAAGTTATTACAATATGAGAATGATAGGTTAAGTACTTCCTGTGGCCATCTTGTTTTTATGATTGCTCTCAAAATAAAACATACACAACTCGGGAGCAGAAAAACCCTACATTTCAAATTTGAGAAAGATCTCTGAAAAACTTCCTGAGAAATGGTACTAACAAACCTTAAATGTCAAAATCCAAGATGGCCACCTATTGGCCATTTTGTTTTACCGATCGGTCTCAAAATAAAACATGCACAATGAAGGACCATGGGGCACATACATGTACAACCAATCTGAGAAAGATCACTCCTGTACTTCCTTAGAAAAAGCACTAACAAAACTTAACTGTCAAAACCAAAGATGGCTGCCTGTCTGCCATTTTGTTTATCTGATCAGTCTCAAAAGAAAACATGAACAACAACAGACAAAGGCGAACCTGCATGTACATATCAAATTTGAGAAAGATACCTCAAGTACTTCCGGAGAAATAGCGATGACAAGAATTGTTTAAAAATGGACTGAGGACAAAGGGTGATTTTAATAGCCTACCATCAGATGATGTTGGGCCAAAAATGCAGAAATTAAAGGAAGTCACTCCACAAAATCATCCAAATATACAATGCTGGTAATCTTGCATACTTTTTGCACATATACTTGTGGAAAATAATTATCGAACAATTCCATTCAAAATCTATATCAGGTTAAAGAGCAATATACGTAGACTCTATCAAAATTTTATTTCAATATTAAATAATGTGATTCCGAAAAGATAATGATTGCAGTAAGCAAGCCCTATGTGTTTCCTGTAACATTACATTGTACCCTAATCATAATCTTGTACATCCTCTAGGTCTGACATTTCAAGTGTATGTATTAAGCTTTCTACATTTCAGTTAAGTCAAACTGTCTGGTGAAATTCCACCTTCCATGGAGTGGCACATTCCCTAATTCCAAGACCATTGAAGGCGGAGTTTCACACATATATTTATATAGCAATAAATAGTTTTAAATGTCCATGTGGTGGTAAAAATATAAACATAGCAAAACACGAAGACTAGTATAATCGGCTAGAGCTTTCGCCCATCGTGGGGCTCTTCAGGCAATTTAAATTTATTTGTGATAAATGGAGTACACATACTTAATTATAAGACATCAAAAACAAAGTACACAGTTTAATGGTTACTATTGAACAATGTATTCATTTGAGCATTTGTAATATGCTCGGTTTCTTTTTCCATATATTTCATTGACGCATTTAATGCAAGTACGTTCATGTAATCTTTTTAAGGCGTCACAATTTCTAGACGTCTCCATTATGTGTACTCCATTTATGACGTCACAAATAAATTTAATTCGCCTGAAGAGCCCCACGATGGGCGAAAGCGCTAGCCAATTATACTAGTCTTCGTGTTTTGTTTATATATATACAAGTAAACCATGTTACCATTGGCACAATTTACATAATGTATACATAGTGATATATTTGTTTATGTCCATTACCAACCAAAGTATTCCATTTAATTTAAATCTCTTCTTTTCATAGCCCATACAGACTTTAAACCCAACCCAAAAACATTCACCCAGTTTTATAAGTAGTAATTTCCATTTCACTTCATTAGTACTCACTAGTACTGCACATGCAACACATCAAACTTGAGTCCCATGGGCCATAACGTTACTCGAGTTGTAAAATAATTGTTATCTGTTGGTATGATGCAACGAAGAAAACTAGTACAAATAAACAAAATATGACTTTTTAACCATGGATTCACTGAAAACAAATATTGGAGACTGTACTTATCAACATCATTGTAGAATTTGACATTACCTAAGACTTAACAAAACAACATTTTTTTTCAACTTCAACTTAATTTTTTGTGCAGTCAAACTGCCATCACTTGATTATAACTTTAATCAGCTTGAATTATTTTAGTTCTCATTAATAATTTAAGAAAAATACGACCAAAAGTGTTATTCCCATCGTAAAACTGACTATGCCCCTTCAACAGGGGAAATGTTACGTCTATAACACAGGAGGCAACAGGTGGGGTAATTTATTATCCGACATGATTACGCCATTCACCCAATCAAGCCGTACCAGTGGAAATTATCTTGCCATGTTAAACCTCCATCATTGTTACATTATAGTGAGGGGAGACCCGGTCCAGTATAGAAATTTGGAGTTTTGTATCATGTACATGTACCATAGGACCTTTGCATAGATCTATGAAGAGTATGTAATTCTAGCATACATGGTCTGAAGATGAATATTGTTGAAGTTTCAGCTAATTTGACCCCTTGGGGGTTGAGGTCCTTATCTAATTTAAAAAAAAAAATATTTTCTTTGGCCACGAAAGATATCAATAAAATTTCATTGGAATCAAATCATTTTTTTTGTTTGATGATTGAAGCCAGGTAGCGTGTACTATTCACAGACATACAACAACAGACGGAAGACAATCACAATACTTTGCATGATTCTATGTCTCAGTTGACTTTAAAACCAACCATTATTGATGGAGGGTTTATCCCATAAGTCCAATACATACTGGTGTGATAAATTGTTGAAAATGGCTGTAAAGAAAACATGTGTTAAACCACCCGAGTAAAAATAACTCTTCTAATGTGGATTGTGCAGTGGAGTGTGAAATCCAACATGTGCGACAAGTCTAGGGAGGATATTTGTGAATTTAATAGGCCTGTAAACAGTAACATGTTAGAAAATCTAATCTAGACTTATGAGAACTTGCTCATGGAAAAAGTTTTTAAAACTGGGAATTGACCACTGTGCTTCAGCGTTCTAATCCTTTCATTCACAGCAGAAGTTTAGAACCATATGTTACCGTCAGCTAATCCACACCAACAGGTAGTCCAAAATAACTATCTCCTTTGAAAACTTTTTGATGGGACAGAGATAGTCAGACCGTCATCCTCCATAGGATCTCTGATCTAATTTGCACACTGCAAATGTTTTCTAGTTTGCCGAATCATGACCACATACTTCATACTTTCCATATATAAATGGTTTGGTTTGTTTGTGTTTTAGGTCCTATTAACAGCTATGGTCATTTAAGGACATGCCAGAATTTGGTGGTGAAGGAAAGCTGGAGTTACCAGAGAAAAACCACCTACGAACGGCCAGTACCTGGTGACTGCCCCATGTAGGTCTCGAACCCGCGACCCAGTGGTGGCAAACTGTCAGACGCCTTAACCACTTGGCCACCGCGGCCCCTACACCCCTGAGTGAAATCAAAGGCCCTGTACACACAAACTATCTTGCAGATATTCAAAAAGAATAGCTTGATCCTTTGATGTTCATAAAAAAAAGATTCACAAGGCAGGTAACACCCAGTTTTGAAGTTAGGTGTCACTCCTCTGAAATCTTCAAAGGATAGGTATCAACCTAGCAATAGGATAGGCATCAACCTTGCAATAGGATAGGTATCAGCCTAGTAATAGGATAGGATCAACCTAGCAATAGGATAGGTATCAGCCTTGCAATAGGATAGGTATCAGCCTAACAATAGGATAGGTATCAACCTAGCAATAGGATAGGTATCAGCCTAGCAATAGGATAGGATCAACCTAGCAATAGGATAGGTATCAGCCTTGCAATAGGATAGGTATCAGCCTAACAATAGGATAGGTATCAACCTAGCAATAGGATAGGTATCAGCCTAGCAATAGGATAGGTATCAACCTAGCAATAGAATAGGTATCAGCCTAGCAATGGGATAGGATCAACCTAGCAATAGGATAGGTATCAGCCGAGCAATAGGATAGGTATCAACCTAGCAATTGAATAGGTATCAGCCTAGCAATATGATAGGATCAACCTAGCAATAGGATAGGTATCAGCCGAGCAATAGGATAGGTATCAACCTAGCAATAGAATAGGTATCAGCCTAGCAATGGGATAGGATCAACCTAGCAATAGGATAGGTATCAGCCGAGCAATAGGATAGGTATCAACCTAGCAATTGAATAGGTATCAGCCTAGCAATGGGATAGGATCAACCTAGCAATAGGATAGGTATCAGCCGAGCAATAGGATAGGTATCAACCTAGCAATTGAATAGGTATCAGCCTAGCAATAGGATAGGATCAACCTAGCAATAGGATAGGTATCAGCCGAGCAATAGGATAGGTATCAACCTAGCAATAGGATAGGTTTCAGCCTAGCAATAGGATAGGTATCAACCTAGCAATAGGATAGGTATCAACCTAGCAATAGGATAGGTATCAACCTAGCAATAGGATAGGTTTCAGCCTAGCAATAGGATAGGTATACGTATCAACCTAGCAATAGGAAAGGTATCAACCTAGCAATATGATAGGTATCAACCTAGCAATAGGATAGGTATCAACCTAGCAATAGGATAGGTATCAACCTAGCAATTGGTCAGTCATTGTTTACCTTTCACCAATCAAATAGCTAACCATGCTTGTGCCTTTGATTTCGGCAGGACATTGGTGGGGTGCAAAGAACATAAATGGGCGTAACACCTGTAATTTGGAAGATGTCTCTGCCAATGTCCTAATAAACATGTCACAAAATAAGTGTATTTGTCATGTGACTGAATTTGATTTCACTCATAAAGACGGACAAAAAATGCTCACATGTAACAATGTGCTGAAATACATAAAAGATTGATAATAAATAAATATTTTTCGTTATTGAAGCCAAAAGAAAAAGACTGGGTAAAAATTGAAAAAAATATTGTAGTGACAAGTTACTGATACACATATTTTGGGAAAATTCCTCAATTTTGTCTTGTGAGATTTTGCGATGAAATTACTGCTATTGTTGAAATTTGTTCAGTAAAGGATTGTTATCATCATTTTTTATTGGTCCCTCAGCAGAGAATGAGATAATTAAATAACCTTTCAATTCTTGTACAGAAAGTGTTGGGACATCCTCTGGTTTACAAGAAAACATAAACCGAAGTGTGCACTAACCCCAGAATGCATTTTATTTCAAAGAGATACAGAGAATATTCTTACTATCTTCACCCTATTGAAAAACTCTTAAAAGGAGATAGTCAGTCTTTTGGACTAAGCAATTGGGTCAATATGTCATGATATGCTAGATGTAGAAAACTGCAGTCAGCATATCTTAGCTTATCTCCAAAGTTCCAACCAGTATCGATAAGTCCTGTGAGAGGCTAGGTACAGTCAGTGAGTCACAGGTGCCTGCATCTGGTATGTAAAGACTTGTATGTGAAAATTTTAAAAAAGTCTACCTACTGCACACTACTTTATTGACAATATAGGGTAGCTATAGACATACTATTTTATATTTTCACATATTTGCATACCAGATGCAGGCACCTGTGGTACAGTACAGTCAAGGAATGAGTCTGTGATACTGGTCAATCATGTTCTGTTAATTTCCTACTAGTACTAATATTAATACATGGCCTCCTGTCATGACACAATATAAAACAAGAGGCCCAAATGGCCTGTCTGTATTGCTCACCTTGATTTGTTTAAAGTACTTGATATGATGTAAAGATATAGCACTCTATGGTAGGTCTGTATGTACATGTGAAATTTCAGAAAGATCCATCCAGTATTTCTGGAGACATAGAGAGAACAAATTCAAATGTCAAAATCCAAGATAGTGGCCTGATGGCCATTTTATTTTAATAAATACACCCTAATAGTAACAGACACTACTAGGCAACTTGATGGAGACAAAATTGGGATAAAAGGAAGGATTTCAAATGTTTTACCTCTATTTCTCCTTTTGGTCCGCCCCTCTGCCCTAGGCACATCCATCGTTTATACAAATTTTAGTGTCCTTGGCTCAATGAATCTCCAGACCAAATTGGGATGAAATCCCTATGGTAGAAGAAGGATTTTAAAGGTTTAGCTCTATTTCCCCTATTCAGACCCAATCCTCTGCCCCCAGTTGGACCACACCCACCGTTAAAATACAAAATTTAGTCCCCTTGGCCCATGGATGCTTCAGACAAATAAGGATAAAATACCCTTATCTCTATGGTAGAAGGATTCAAAAGTTTAACCTCTATTTCCCCTATTGGGCCTAAGGATGCTCCAGACCAAATTGGTATAAAATCTCTTAATCCCTATGGTAGAAGAAGGATTTGAAAGGTTTTACCTCTATTTCCCCTATTTGGCCCGCCGTTTATATTTAATTGAGTGCCCTTAGCCCAAGGATGCTCCAGACCAACTTTTATTAAATTCAACTAAGTTGTTTAGGACTAGTAGCGTTTTAAAAGAAAAGTTGATGGACGGATGAATCGACGATGATCGCTATGGCTTACGCCTTAGCGCATCGTCCGTTCGTCTGTCCGTCAACTCATGATCATTCATGATCACTTGCCCTTCGGGCAGGCTAGCTGAAAATTGTCTTGTCATCCGAAGCTACGTTATCGCAGTCAATTTCCTCCTAATGAAGGAGAACCTCCTTTTTGGAGGGAAAACACACACTGGTTTGTACTATTTACACACTACCACCATCCAAGGTCAGGGAAAATCCTGGAAATTGAGAGCAGTAGACCATTTCAGCAAATTTTACTCACTATCAAAATTAAAATGGGCCGTTCTATGTAAATTTAAAAGAAAGTTGGAACATGGAAGGGTCAATATCAGTTTTGAGGGGTCAATGGCCCCATGGCCCCTTCCAGGATTATCCCTGAATGTAGATTAATGTTAACTAGACCTACCTTCTACACTGCAGTGATCAATCTAGGTTTTAAGGGAAACTACCCTTTTTCAGATTTGGGGGAAATTAAAATTTTGATGCAAGGCTGTAGCATCATGAAGGTAAAAAATAATGTTTTGTCAGACATGTACATGTGTGTAGTATATTTTAATTTATACACTATTTCAAACTTAAAATTGTAGAATTTTTGTTCAAATTATTTGAAGAAAATGTAAGGTGGCAGTACCCAAATCGGATCGGTACCCAAATCCGATCACTTTTTGCAAAAATGTTCATAAATAAATGTGTCAACAAATCAGTTATAACAATGATGCTGTCTTAGAAAAGATAGCCATGCACCATTTTTTGTCTACAGAGAATTAGTTTTTAAGTTCAAATAGCACAAGAAAACGTAATTCAAGCTAAAATGTCAATGTTTTGATTACATTTTTAAACAAAAGGCCCAGAGGGCCTGTATCGCTCACCTGGATATCTTAGCAATCATGGCAAAATATTCTCCAAATGAGATCCAAGGGAATATGCCAGACCCCAGAGCCAATCCTTGTAGCATATCTGTATTAGATTTTTCATGCCCAGCAATTTTAACTGTTTCCAAGCTGTGACTCAGAAACTAGATCCCCAGGATCAATTCTAATATCATGACATGGGGATCTCAACCATTTCACAGTTATGAAGTCTACAAGAGTGGGGGCCGACCCTGGGGTCAATTCTAATATCATGACTGCATTCATCTGTTTATGCCCAACAATTGTATATATAGTTTTGGGTTGGGGATCTTAACCATTTCAAAGTTATGACCCAGGGGTTAAGTCTCCAAGGGTGGGTCAGTCCCCAAGGCCATCCTGGAAGCATATGTGCATTCATCTCTTTATACTCAACAATTGTATATATGGTTATAGGGTGGGGATCTCAACTGTTTCCAAGCTGTGACTAAGAAACTAGGGGTTCGGTCAGACCCCAGGGTCTATTCTAATATCATGACTGTATTCATCTCTTTATGTCCGCCGTATTTTGACTATAACTGTTTGGTTGTTTGTCGTCACAGTTTTTTTTCTGCAAAAGATACTTGGCATTGTGAATTTGCCTAAGGTCTCTGGGTTCATTCATAGAATCGTCTAATGACTTAATGTTGTCTAGAATGACTTTCGGAGCCTGTCTGTTTATTAATCTATCGTTTATCACCTCCTTTGTAGCGAGAATTGCGCGCCGATACCCATCCCCCTCCCACTATATTAGTTATAATAATAAAAAAAAGATAATTAAACACATTGTTAAATGTATTCTTAATCGATTACAGTTAAAATCTAAATTGTTCAATAAATACAATAATGTTATTCTTGACACAGCTGATTAAAGGTGTATCAATGTTTATATAGCAATATATTCTAACTGTGTTCACCTATACCAGAGACGTATAACACATACACGTCTCTGCCTATGCAAAGCCCTACCCTACGTACACATATATGTGGCACGGCATATCGCTTAATATCTGTACATCGTATGAATTAAATTCACGATACCTCTATCATTTTTCAACAAATCAAATTAAAATTTGGTATATAGTTGTATCATAGTCATATGAATAACATATCTCATGATGTCGCTTACTTTATCAATTATTTTAAGAGATATAGTTTAAAGACGCTTCACAATCTGTCGAGTTCTAGACGTCGAGCCGAGCCGTCGATCGTAATAATCAAAAGCATCATTAATCGGTCATTTATTAAAATTTCTACCTGAAGTTTGGTATAAAGGTATATCATAGTTATATGAATAAAATATCTTCTGATGTCGCTTACTTAATCGATGAATTTTAGAGCCATGTTCTGAAGACGCTTCTTCATATGTCGAGTTCTATTCACACGCGTATGCCACGCCGCCGATCGTAATAATAAATTAATCATAACTCGATCATGTTTTCAAATATCGAGCTGAAATTTGGAATATATATCAATAAAAGTCTAACAATAACATATCTTCTGATGTCGCTTACTTTAGCAGGTAATTGTAACGATATTATCTGGCGACCCTTTCTTCACTTTACAAGCTAATACACACATGTGCCACGCCGCGATCGTAAAAATTCAATTCATCATAACACAGTCATTTTATCAAATATCAAATTAAAATTTGGTACAGAGGTGTATTATAGTCATATTAACAACATATCTTCTGATGTCGCTTACTTTATTCAGTATTTTTTAAAGATTTTGTTTGGCGACGCTTGTTGTCACTTGAAGACGCTTGTTGTCGGTTGAAGACGCTTTTAAGTGAGACCGACACAGACTAGTTTGTAAAGCTAAGTTGTGGGAGTACAGGCATTTTGTTTACTTGCTAACTTGGGCGNTCCGAAACTATGGATTTTTAGCTCTGCTTATAGAACGGTCCAAGCGTGTTCGTTTATCGTGGAAAATTTCTGCGCCACACGTACCGTTTCAACCGGTAACGCGAATGTAGCCATGGATTGCTCAGACGTTTTGACAGTTACCGCCGCCATCTTGGGTCAGAGGTCAAGTGGTTAAAATTTTGTAAACAATAATGTCGGTGCTCGCACTCTTGGCGATTGAGCGCTGTTGAATCTTGACAGTTTAACGACGTATTTGCCTATAACAATGTTTATCATTATGAGGAACAGATGCAAACAACTTACCTTCCTACTATTCCATCTAAAGACGACATTCTAAATCCTTATCATTTGCAATATCATAATTTTACAAGCGTGACCCCTTACTGGCCTTAGCCTGGTAGGCCAGAACTACGGATTACATCAATGTATATATTTATATAATCAGACTCACTTCTTTTTCTTATTTTTAAAAAACTTGCCTATCGATACTTGCAGCGTTCTTAAACGACTTCAACAGATCAGAGACGTATAATATGTATTATACGTCTCTGAACAGATCAAGCCCAAGAGCGAGCAGTTTTACTGCGGATGACAAAACGAGCATCCCGACGACGGCCGGGGCAGAGGGGGCCGTGTTTTGATGATAGTATTAGGATATGAGGTGTTTACCATATCTATTTGCAAAGTACTGAACCCTTTATTTTATTTCAAAATATTTTATTGTCAATACAAACAAAGCTAATTACAAGAATTACAGAAGAAATATAACAGTACATTAACAAAGGTATAAGACAACAGGCTAAGCCTTATAAGTTTTTTTCCTATAGATAACCAGTATCCAATTATTTTGATTTCGTTAATAAAATATTTAAGTTATGGGTGGTAGATAGTAGAACAATAAAGGAAAAAAAAATATTTATTAACTATAATGACTCTCATACTACCATAAATTTGTAATTGTTATCTTTTATAATGAACACATGTTATGCAGAAAGATGACTCCCTACAGGCTACTGCTCCTTTATAGCTGGGCGAATCCATGTATCCCCTACATCGTCAAGTCCTAGGACATATATTTGAATTATACACACATTGTGGCACAAAAATGTTTTCAGTGAAATGCACTTCTTGTGCAATTATAACTTTAATTGGCTTTGTGTTTCCTGCATTTAACCTGACCACTTAACGTGATAGACTGGTGTGAATGTAAAATATTACAGATCACACAATTACACATAGGCTTTAATCATAGATTTATCAAATCTTTATATTGATTTGATGTTGTAGTTTAGCCGGAGACACATTCAAACAAACTAGAGATTTCCCTATTTGTTTTTATAACAGTAGTACTAAATAAATCTATATAGTTGTCTTATTTACAGTCATGTCATTTTCACATTTGATTTGATTTTCTTTTATGTATTTTTTTAAATAATTCAACTTAATTTCAATACTTGCTCTGAAGGGAACTTGATGGTCCTCCATTTGTTATGTGTGAGAATTTGAAATTTACTTGTTGCAGCTTAATTCACCAGTCAGTTAGAAGACAATCAGCAAAGGGAATCCTTTGATTGCAGCAGTTCACACCTGGTCTACCTCTTTGATGGGGAATGTAAATCATTGTGCCAAAAGTATCAGCAATTTTCCAAGAGCTACACTATATATTTCACACCATCAAAGAGATTTATCTGATATTATATCTGGCAAGGTTTTCATTTGATGAAATTTCATTTCATACAAGATATGGGAGTTATTCTCAGAAATATCATTTCACTGCAATTATTTTGTATGGCAAAGAACAAAATGGCATTGTTAAATAAATTAATCTGAATAACTTGTCATACCTCAAAATAAAAACAAGTCAGCACATATGTAGGAAAATATTTTTAGATGATTATTTAGAAACATATAAAAAAAAACAGTATTTGATTTTGTTTCAATGGTGATATAACTAACGCCAGAAACATCTAATGGTAAAGATAACATTAAATATATGAAATTTAGAATAAATATGGGTAAACTGCATTGGTGGAAATGCTTTATAAAGTGCACTGTCGTAGACCAGAAGTGTAATTTTACATTACACATAATTATGACTATACATTGTATTCCTACTTTGTTTTAGTAGTGCATTAATGCACAAAATTAAATTCCTTTTCGCATTCACGGTAGATGTCATTAACAATTTTCATAGAACAGTGGCAGCTTCCAAGTGGTGTCATTTCATTTGTATTTCACACGAATAATATCAATCACAAATCAAGATGTGGATAAAAGATAAATTCACCAATGGCTGTCCTGAGAAAGAAAGGAATTTTCTTCATCCAAGACAAATTGTCTATTAGATCCAGCTTTTCAAAGGCCTTCTTTTGTAGTTGTTTATTTTTCAGAGATTTTACATAATATATAAACATGGCATTAATAGTACATATTCACATGCACATACACACATGTTAGTTTTTCACTTTGGCATCATCATCATCATCTTCTAAAGACCTGTTATACACCAGAATGCAAAAACTAGTTTGTGGCCAATGTAATGACCCATAGTATTAACTGTAATGTTTTATGTTTCCATAATTTAGGAACTTGTGCTGTTACTAAATTTAAAGTTAAATAAAATATTCTTGAACTTTAAATTTAGTAACTGCACAAGTTCCTAAATTATGGAAACCTAAAACATTACAGTGTGAATTTGAAAAATGTATTTATTCTTAAATCTTGCTTTTTTTTTATAACCTATAGCTACAGTTCTGTGAATTTATGTCCCAAAGTTTCCTCTGGTCTAAGTACCAGACTTTTGTAATTTTGACAGACAGATGCCTGCACAACACACGTACACCAATCTGTCAAAAGTCTGAGTGTTAGGATCATAGGAAACTCTAGCCAGCCTGTTTCACACTGTTGTTTAGTNATATTAACTGTAATGTTTTATGTTTCCATAATTTAGGAACTTGTGTTGTTACTAAATTTAAAGTTAAATAAAATATTCTTGAACTTTAAATTTAGTAACTGCACAAGTTCCTAAATTATGGAAACCTAAAACATTACAGTGTGAATTTGAAAAATGTATTTATTTTTAAATCTTGCATTTTTTTTATAACCCATAGCTACAGTTCTGTGAATTTATGTCCCAAAGTTTCCTCTGGTCTAAGTACCAGACTTTTGTAATTTTGACAGACAGATGCCTGCACAACACACGTACACCAATCTGTCAAAAGTCTGTGTGTTAGGATCATAGGAAACTCTAGCCAGCCTGTTTCACATTGTTGTTTAGTAAACTATATTTTTATATAACCAGTTATCAAATTTGGTCAAAGTTTAAAAAAAATTATATAGTACAAATATGCTTGATTGAAACCAAAACAGGTGTCTAGTGTAATGGATTGGTTATACAGGTATTATACATACCTGCCACAAACATTGCATGTACATGTGTGTGTTAATAAAATAAAAAGGCAGAATTGACAAAGACAGCTGGCGAAACAAAAGTGTCAATTTACATATATGACATATATGACTTATGCAAGATACCCATTGCAACCAGTTCACAATTGATTCACACACAGCATCCCATAATTAAATATTTTAACAGTTATGACAAGTTATGTGTACGTTTGCTCATTGTGAAAAAAGTGATATTATAAGAAACAGAAATATTTGTTCTTCATTGTACACAAAAATATGACCGGTTTTTTTTGCACAGAAAAACAGTGATATATCGAACCACGCCACTAATATAATTCCGTGATCGAACTGAACGACAGCTGAAACCTACGTACACTGGCATGAACATTGGTATGACAGGCTTACTTCAATTGAGACCAACTGCTTAAATAAAAGGTGAAATCGTATTAAATATTACTGAGAACGTCTATTGATAACGTAGGCAAGTAATAACATTTTCAAAACTAGATGTCATATCTTCTAAGCGGAAAGAAGTTTGTTTAAATGAATCGGTTCCGTGCGGTGCCAATGTAATCGTTCACAACTTTTAACCACTTGACCTCTGACCAGACGCTTTTGACCCAGATCCAAGATGGCGGACGGGTAACTGTCAAAACGTCTATAGGGATTGTAGAGCTGATATATATTATTGTTGCGTATATTGTGAGTGTTGGGGAGGGGGGGGGTAATTTTTTAAGAGGCCG